AAGATACCAATAAGTTATAAGTAAAAATGGAAAAAGACAAACCATAAAAACACTAATAAAAGACTTCAAGACAAGTATTAGATACAGGTATTTTATAACAAAATGTTTAGTAAATGGAGAACATATCAATTGTAAATATATATGCACCTTATTATTGAGTTTTAAGATATATAAAACAGAAGGCAATGGAGCACTAAGGTGAGACAAACTCACAATCATAGTTGGAGATTTAGTAGACAAAGTCAGAAAGGATAGGAGATATTCAATGACATTACCAACCGCTGACCTGACATTTATAGACCAACTACACCCCTAAACTGCAGAATACTCATTTTTATATGCCACCAGGATATTCACCAAAAAGGGCCAACCATGGAATTTTAGAAATAGTAACATATGGAAATAATTGGCATGTTATCTTCTGGTAGATGGAAAAATTCATTTGGAAATTAGTCCATATATCAGTGAACAAATCACAGAGAAATCAGGACATATTTTGAGCCAAAGGATCACACAGATAACCAAATTTGTCACATGCAGCTAAAGAGGTGTGCTGAGTGAAATTTTAAATACTAAGTTTTGAAGACAGGTTTAAAATCAATGATCTACAAAGGGCTAGGGAAAAAGAGCAAATTGAATCCTAAGCAAGCAGAAGGAAGGGAAGTGAAAATCAATGAAATAGAAAAAGGAGAGGCCAGCAGCGGTGGCTTATGCATGTAATCCCAGCACTTTGGAAGGCCAAGGTAGGTGGATCACCTGAGGTCAGGAGTTCAAGACCAGCCTGGCCAACATAGTGAAACCCTGTCTCTACTAAAAATATAAAAATTAGCCAGGTGTGGTGGCAGGCACCTGTAATCCCAGCTACTCAGGAGGCTGAGGCAGGAGAATCACTTGAACCCGGGAGGCAGAGGTTGCAGTGAGCCAAGACTGTGCCACCGTACTCTAACCATCTCAAAAAAAAACAACAAAAAAAAGAAAAAAAGAAAAAAGAAAAAGGGCATATATTAGAGAAAAATCAATGAAATTAAATGTTCTTCAAAAAATTTTAATAGAATCTATAAACCTCTAGCTAGATAAGAAAGAACACAAGGTTCGGATAACAAGAAAGGAAAGGGAGACACCACGACATATTACAGACATTTTAACATAAATACTACCAACTTTCATATCAATACATTTCACAATTTACTGGAACATGTGAAGTCCTTAAAAGAGACAAACTACTGAAACTACCAGAGGTAGAAAATCTAAATAGTTCCTTGAGATAAAAAATAAGGCATTTAACATTGTATTGCTGGTCTTAGCCACTGCAATAGATAAGAAAAAGACAAACCATTGGAGGAAGTAAAAGTGCCTGTATTCACCGATAACATGATTGTGTACTTAAAATCCTAACGAATCTGCCCCCCCCCCAAAAAAAAAAGCCAGAATTGGTGAGTTTAGCAAGTTCACAGGATTCAATATACCAAAAGTAACTGTATTTTCATAACATGAAATAAATCATTGCAAGATGAACTTTTTGAAGGTATCATTTATAGTACCAAAAAAATACTTAGGGACAGATTTAAAACAGACCTGCAAGCCTCTACAGTGAAACTACAAAACTATAGAAAGTAGATCTAAGTAAATGAATAGACATATTACACTCATGGATTGGAAGACTGAGTATTTTTAAGATGTCAGTTCTTCACAAATTGATACTTAAATTCAGCACAATAATTCTAGCCTTCCATAATTCTCGCCAATTTTGGGGGGACAGAACTTGACATGCTGGGAGGACTGATGCATCTGACTTCTAGACTTTCTACATAGTACTGACTTACCATTTTTCGACTAGATGATAGTATAAGAGTGATACACATTCAGTAGAAACCCTACTTTGAATTTTTTTATTTTCTCTGGCTAGTAATGTGCCCATACAATACTTTCTTGCAATGCTGGGCAGCAGCAGCAAGGCGCTACTCTCAGCCACAGCATCGGGAGGGTAAAAACTGATTCTTGGTCTTTGTGAAGAACACTATTCCTGCAAAACCACCAAGTGTCTATCCATTAGTGCCTTTAACAAGTGCTTCTACTCAAGCCTAATCAGAAGGGAGACTGATAATCCTGTTGCTATAGCATTCCCCATCATGCAGCAATTTTAGTTCAATGCTTCAATCATTGTGGCCCAGTGTGCTTTCAGCTGCGTACGTTAATAGTAACTATGCAATCATTTTTTGCTTTCAGTTCAGTATTCAATAAATTAGATGACATATTCAATACTTTCAAAGAAAATAGTCTTTGTATTAGATAATTTTACTTAACTGTAGGCTAATGTGTCATGAGTACATTTAAGGTAGGCTAGGCTAAGCTATGATGTAGGTCAAGGTATATTAAATGCATTTTTGACTTAAATACAGTATTTTCAACTTATTGTGTTTATTATGATGTAATCCAAAGTTACGAGTCATCTATGCAGCTATGGTAATTCAAGGCAGTGTGGTATGAGTGTAAGGAAGGGAAAACATTTCAATGTAACAGGACAGAAAGTCCAGAAACAGATCTACCATTATGGTTAACTGATTTTTTAAAAACTGCCAAGGTAATTTAATGAGGAAAGGATAATTCTTTCAATAAACAGTGTTACAATGACTGGATAGCTGTACGGGGGTAAAAAAGAAACTTGATTTGTAATTCACAACATACATATCAATTCACAATGGATCACAAATATGAAAACATAAAGTTTATGTAATAAAGTAGAATATCTGAAATCTTGGGGTTAAATCAAATAGAAGAGACAAAATACCAAACATCCAAACATAAAAGAGAAAATTTAATTTGACCTTATTGAAATTTAAAACTTCTATTCATCAAAAGACATAAAGGAAATAGTCAAGCCACAGACTAGATATTATATTCTCAATACATGCATCTGACAAGAGACTTGCATCTAGAACACATAAAGAATTTCTTTTTTTTTTTTTTTGAGACGGAGTTTCGCTCTTGTTACCCAGGCTGGAGTGCAATGGCGCGATCTCGGCTCACCGCAACCTCCGCCTCCTGGGTTCAGGCAATTCTCCTGCCTCAGCCTCCTGAGTAGCTGGGATTACAGGCACGCGCCACCATGCCCAGCTAATGTTTTGTATTTCAAAACATTTCAGCCGGGCACGGTGGCTCAAGCCTGTAATCCCAGCACTTTGGGAGGCCGAGGCGGGTGGATCACGAGGTCGAGAGATCTAGACCATCCTGGTCAACATGGTGAAACCCCGTCTCCACTAAAGATACAAAAAACTAGCTGGGCATGGTGGCGCGTGCCTGTAATCCCAGCTACTCAGGAGGCTGAGGCAGGAGAATTGCCTGAACCCAGGAGGCAGAGGTTGCGGTGAGCCGAGATCGCGCCATTGCACTCCAGCCTGGGTAACAAGAGCGAAACTCCGTCTCAAAAAAAAAAAAAAAAAAAAAAAAAAAAAGAATTTCTATGACCCAACTACAGTTATCAGAGATATACAAATTAAAACTAAAATGAAACATCACTACACACCCATTGGAAAGTTTCAAAAGGAAAAATAGTGACACCACCAATTTATTTGTAAAGATAGGAGGTATCAGAACTCTCATACATTCATTATATTCATAAATTGATACATATAAGAATGCTATAGGTATGGCAGTCTTCCTTAGAGAGGGACTGTGGGCATGACAGAGACCAATATTAATCTGTCCATTATATTCATAAACTGTAAAATAGAGACCGTATGTTCCACCAGCTTCACTGGGTAATTATGATACAAGGCCATTATGAGACCCAAATCACTCCATTTCATTAATATGCCCTGTCAATTCTACTTCTAAGGTGTCCCATGTTCTGTCTGATGTCACACCACTATCACAATTTAAGTGTTCATAATCCTCTATAATATTTCAATAATCTAACTGATCTCAATGCCTATAGTAGAAATTGCAGACTGGCTCACCCAATTTCTGCTCCCTAGGAAGGCCAAGAAGCTTAAAAAAAAAAAAAAAAAAACACCTTCATTTCCCTAACTCCCTTGCAGCTAGAGTTCCACTTGCAAGTTAATTTGGTTCTGGCAAGTAGATGCACTTCCTCAAGATTTGGAAGGTGAAAGTGATGTAGAGTCCAGCGTGGCCAGCCTCTTGTCCCTTCTATTGCTTCTGTTTACAAGGAAGTCATGAAAATATGGCTTCCATTCCTCAATGTTCCATTTCTCATTCTCCAGACAACTAAGCAGTTGCAGTGACTCTTGATTAGAGCTTTCTTCTTACTGGATCACAGGTATATGAATATATTATTGAACACAGAAATGAAATCACTTGTCAATAAAGTTTGAAGAAAGACACTGTTTCTTACCATCTCCCTTTAAGGTAGAAAAAGAAAACCACCTCACAATTTCTACTTTACAAGTAGGAAAACTAGGCCTCTAAACAAGCTCAAAACAGACCCATACCCAGCTCAGTAAGACTACCAAAAAGGGGCATGGGTCTTTCCACTCTGGTGAAAACTAAACCCACGTTTGATGAAGTCTCCACATGATATTCAGTTTCTAGTACTAGAATAATGTGTAGGTGACATCTGCACCACTGAAGCCATTTTGTTTGTTTGGCTCACTAGAGTTTAGGTAAGACTACAGCATAATGTAAAAGAAAAATATTAAAAGAAAAAAATTATATTGATATTCCTATGATTTTTAATCCTCTAAGTAAAAAAGCAAGGTGTAGAACACTGTGTATGTTATATTATCATTTGTGTAGGAAATTATTTAAAAATAGGAACTTGAATAGGAATTAAAAATCCCAAGATTCATAAGAAATGAGTATCATGAATTTTTCTCTGAGAGGAACCAAGTAGCTAGGATAGTGGTGGAAGGGTAGTCTTTACCTTACGTACTTTTAGAATTTTTAACTGTGACTGTATTAACTATTTAATAAAACACTTTTAAAAATGAAAAAAGAGATGCAATGACAAAGCCTTAAAACAAACAATAATTGTTACACAAGAATCAATGTTTTCTGCATTTTATTTAATAAAGTTAGGCCATAATATATTTGTAACTTAAATCTCCTCTATACACTGTATATTCATATAACCTTGTTAGCCTGAAGTAGATGCTTGCTAGTAAGTTTTTCCATGGCTCCTTTTCAAAATCCTTAGTTATCTTCTCCTTTTTACATTAGGATTGTATCTGCGAAGAAAGAAATGGGGTTAAACGATATTTAGATAAGGGATGGTATTTCTTTTAAAGGTAAAGGACTTTCAAACTGTAGTCACACTTTGGTAAATAGGATGGGAATGACAGTTTTGTCCTTAGGATCAGATATCAAACACTGACATTTTAATTTTCATTCATTCCTTTGATGTTTCTTTGATGAAAATATGGCAAACATCAAAAAAGCATAAATAACAAAAACCCTGTAAAGCTTTAAAATAATTAATGAAAACAGTTTACAAATTAAGGTATGTTTACACGTCTTTCTGTATGGCTTCAAAGATCCCCACTCCCCCCCACCACCCAAATAAAGCATATCATTTGCAAAAAAGAACATACATTATCTACCTAAAATGTAATTAGCATGTTACAGTATTTTCTCCCTTGGCAGTTAAACAAATATGGCTGAACAACCCATCTCATTTGACTACTTATGAAAAATCAGCATTGTTTGTCAACTTTTTTTTTTTTTTTTTCTGAGACAGGGTCTCACTCTGTCGCCAGCTGGAGTGCACTGGCATGATCTGGGCTCACTGCAACCTCCGCGTCCTGGGTTCAAGTGATTCTCCTGCCTCAGCCTCCTGAGTAGTTGGGATTGCAGGCAGGCACCACCACACCAAGCTAATTTTTGTATTTTTAATAGAGATAGGGTTTTACCATGTTGGCCAGGCTGGTCTCGAACTCTTGACCAGGCTGGTCTCGAACTCTTGACCTCGTGATCCACCCACCTCAGCCTCCCAAAGTGCTGGGATTACCCAGCCTGTTTGTTAACATTTTTATCAGCAATTTATACTGTCAATTATGAAATTAGAGAATCAATCTAATTGGCTGCAAAACAGACTCAAAGTATTTCTCTGTTCTGTCTTTAAGTTGGGAAAATATTACTCTCCCCTAGCTGGTATCTACCTCTAATAAAGTATTTTGTTAGTACTTCAGAGGCAATTATTATAATAGGTTTGTTAGGCCTGCAGGAATGCTGAAAATGTATTAAATCAGAATTAAATTATAACCACATAGTACAACTCTAAAACCTTCCACAAAACCTGCTTTGAAACTCTAATCCAGCTTTTTGTTTTTATGCATGTGCCAATTAAGACTAAACAAACAGTCTGGTATTTTACTTGTCTTAATTCAAAACTCATTTTAATCATAATTCTACTCAGAGCTAAAAAACTTCACAAATCTATACACCAATTTCACACAATTCAGGAAGCATATTTTTACCTGAATGCCCCACACAAATTTTAAGTATCTTATACTTAAACCCAAACCTCCACGCTATATCTAATAACCTCAATTAAGAGGTGCTTAAGTAATAAACACTTAAGTTAAAAATAGAACATCCTTTAGGTTAAGGGACTAGGTGTCTATGAGGATAGAAGAAACAAATTATTAATTTCTATGAACAGAACTAAATTTTATATACATCTTTCAAAGGTACATGAGAAAGCTGAATCAAACTTTACCTAAAAAGATCATCAGCAAGAGACTCTTCTTTTGCATGTTGATTTTGTACCTGTCAAAATTAACATAATTTCAAACATTTGGTCAGTGGTGAGTGAATGTAGAGTTAATGAACTGCTGTGCCGATAGATCACTATCATCTTTGAGATTTCCATACCCTGGAGATCACCAAGTCTATGAGTTCTTGCCTCTGCTGATCATTCATTCAACTGAGCCTCTTTATTTTCACTCCATGCCAAGATTATTGCAAAAGAGCTCTAACTAACCAACTTTCTCTTGCCAATCTCCACTCAAAAACAACAATGTATATTGCTAGCTTGTTGTGTTTTTAAACACTCTTTCCAGCAAAACCCTTTTACTAAATGAGATTTCAGTGCTTGGGGGTCAAACCATGGATGAGACTGAGAGGGCAGCATTTACCCCACCTTCAACTAGAGCAGTCTGACAACTAAGGGGGCTCCTGCCCTCTTGGTCCCAAAAGGACTTAGAAGCTACTGCTAAATTACTTCAAATCTGAAGTCCTTTTAAATACAAACTCGCTAAACTCCTAAAGCACCCTACAGAGTCAGGATCAAAAAACCCCTGTGCTGAGTACATCTTCCTGAAGTCCAGCTATGACCCTATCATTTGCCATTTGAAACCCTTCAGTGACTTCTCCCACCTACCAAGGAACACACAAACCCTTGGACATGACCCCCCTTGAAATGTACAAGGCTCTTCATAACCTGGTTCCATTTTACTTTCCTAATCCCTTCTTAACTTCCTCTTTGTGGACTCTGTATGCCAGTTAAAACTGAATCACAAAAAATAAAAATAAAAAAACAGAAAAACCAAACCCCAGAATCATCTAAGCACTCGTGACCCTCTGCTTTTGTTCATGTTTCTCCCTCTACCAAGAAAGTTAATTCCCCTTTTCCCTCTTCCAACATGTAACTATCTTTAAAGGTACATTCATTCAACACTTAGTGCTTACTCTGTTTCAAGGAACATGTTCTTCCCCTCTTTAGCAAAGCGTTCCTGAACTCCTTCTTTTAAAAATAATGTCTACTATAAAGAACTCCCCCAAAACTTCAGCTACAGAATTCCCAGGATGTTTATCAATTTCTACCTTCTGTTATAATTATTTATATTTGTACTCTATCCTCTTTAAAAGACCAGAAGTTCCTTAAACACAGATAGTAAGTGCTGACTTAATGTTTTTGATAGTTTCTTGGAAACTGCAACTGAAAGTGAGATGACATATAGCAAGTCCTTGAATCATATTGTTTTGTTGTAATAATGAGAACAAATATGGGTTATGTAGGTTTGCCTAAAGTTGCAGTTTCCAAGAACCTACTGACAATGTTAAGAACTTACTGTGTTTATTTTTACTGTTATTAATTTATATTTGCATACTTCCAGATACTATCTTAAACTCTTTATATATATTAAAAATCTCAATCTTCATGTAACTTCATTATTACTATTATACTATCATCTCAATTTTAACCAATGAAGTAACAGAGATTTAGGTTAGGTATTTGCAGAAGATAAGAGAACTCCGATGGAATAGCTGGGATTTGACCAGGTCTACCTTAATAAGAGAACCAGCTCTTAACCAAGCTGCCTCAAGGCTTCTGAATCTCTGGAGCAAGCCTAAAGAGTGACTTGCAGGGATTTGTTCTTACAAACTGATTTTTCCATTCATATAGTGAAATAAAATTACATCTTATCTTTTTATATTTTCTAACAGGGATAGCAGAACATAAATGGAAAGACATGATTTTGTTAAAACAGTGTCAAAATAACTGCTAGTATTAATATCTAAGAATATTTTTCCAAATATTCTTAGTGGTATCCTGGGGAATAATTTTAAAGTTGTTGCATAGTAAAGAAAAACCAGTGAGGAGAAAGAGTTTTATTTCATATATTTTAGTAAAAACATTATATATAATAGTATGAAGAAACAGAAATGCCTCATATTACTGGCATTTTTCAGAGGTCTGAGAGAACTACTTTTCACAGTCTTTCAAATTCAAATCAGGTTGTATATAGTTCAAATAAATTTTATGTTTGATGTACACAATGAAAATATCCTAAATTCAAGGGAACTTCAGGAACTGACCAAGTGATTCTTAAAACTAAGCCTGGGTCTGCAGCAGAGGTAGAGAAAGAAGGGATGAAAAAGAAAAATAGGAAGGGAATATAAAAAAAGAATAGCTGGGGCAGACGGAGAAATGAGATGGCAGCACAGAACACTTACATTAACAAGCAGTATCCACGCAGCAAAAGAAAGTCAAGTCTGTTACAGAGTAAGTCCTAACAATAGCACCTAAAATGATTCTAGCAAAAAGAAGCAATTTGGTGAAATAAATCTAGAACACAGCCCCTCTAATTTCAATGAAATAAGCAAAAAAATGCAAAAAAGTCGCAGCTGTATGATATACATCATTCTCTCAACTTCTCTCCCATCGAAAATTAATCTAACAAAACTTGATCGTCATAACAAGAAGAGTTTAAGTCACGCCACATACTTAAAAAGTACAGCTGTGTAAAGAACCAAATGATTGTGACACAACTGATTCCTAATACTGTCCCAATCCATTAAAGTGCCACAGAACTGGCCAAGCCTGAGGATTCTTACTAATTGGGGAAAAGGTGCCTGAACAGGGAAAACAGTTGCTAGTGGGCTGCCGGGAAGGGAGTAACGGTATGGAAGGTGAAGAGCTGGGATTGACACTGACCAAACGCAGAGGCTCCAGGGATCCTTAAGAAATTAGGTAAATAACTTAATAAGGCTAGGTTATTATCTTTTGAGACAAGGCACACTCCTGATACAGGACATTTAATTAAAATCCCAGGGGACAGCTAGCCCAAGCTGCACACAGCTCCAGCTGAGAGAATCCTCTCCCAGATTCAATGTCTTCCGACAAGAGAAACTAGACGGGACATGCCATGTGCCTTTGTCTGTTTCACCATGATGCCATACTGGCAGTGAGGCACAAGGGAATTCTGTTATTTTTTATTTTATTTATTTATTATTATTATTATTATTTTGAGATGGGGTCTTGTTCTGTCACCTACGATCAATCATGGTTCACTGCGACCTTAAACTCCCAGGGTCAAGCAATCTTCCCACGTCTGCCTCCTGAGTCGCTGGGACTATGGACACATGCACTACACCATGCCCAGCTAATTTGTCGTGCTGTTTTTTTTTTTTTTTTTTTTTTCCTTTTTGTAGAGGCAGAGTCTCAAGATGTTGCACAGGCTAGTCCTGGGTTCAAGTGATCCTACCACCTTGGCCTCCCAAAGTGCTGGGGTTTCAGTCATGAGCCACACCACTGTGCCTGGCTGAATTCTGATCACATGGACCAGCTAAGAACGTTAGAAATAATTTTGATTATACTCAATTTCTGTCTCACGAACTGGCTTCTGAGTGTAATCCCTACCTAAGATGGCATATGATCCTTTATGTAGCAAACAGGGTATCTGGATAGGATATTTCCCTTTACCCAAGCGAAGACAAAAAACAGGGAAGCTACTCCATCTACTAGAAGAAAAAAAAAAAGAGAGATATTGGAACAGAACATGCAAAAAAACAGATAAACAACCTAATCTGCAGGAAATAATCCATGAATAAAAAGTAAAATAGAAACATGAAAGCAATGAAATGACAAAAAATTAGATGATAATACAAAAATGAAAGAACAAATGCTAAGTAAACAAACTGAGAACCATAACAGCCTTTCAGAACTAAATTAATTAGAAATAGCTAACACTTTCCACTGTTATAAATGATCTATACGTAGTATCTGATTTAATCCTCATCTGTCTGTGAAATAAAGGTACTATTATTATTCTCATTCGGCACAGAAGGAAAGAGGAATTAAGTAATTTGCCTAAGGTCACAAACCTGGCGAGAAACATTACAGTCACACCTGAAATATAAATTTCTGATACAGTGAAAGAGCCTAAGAAAACCACAGTGAATGCAGAAAAAATAGATGCGGAGGACAAAGGTAATCCAATAAAAGGATAGTCATGTCTTAAATGTAGACAGCCCAGCAAATATAAAATATTTTAAAATATATAATAGAAAAAAGTTCCTTGGAAAAGAGAATGATACCTGCAAATCCAAACAGCATACTCTATGTCAGGAAAAAGTAAGGGAGAATGATCAATACTGAGATGTACTCTTGAGTATTACTGGCTTTCAAGCGTAAGAAAGACAACTATAAACATGCATGCAAATTACCTAAAAAGGGGAAAAATAGGACTGGCATAAGGTGAGGGAGGCTAGGTGGAAGGAAGTACTAATAATGTCCTCAATTTTCACTGTAGGAAGCCAACAAATAGTTGTATCTGAAGTGAAATATGAAGTTTAAAACAACTACCAATTCCAACTTACAGTGATTTTTATAGTTTTCTCCCTTAATATTAGACAGATCTCACAAAATAAAATATCTTGGAGGGAAGAAACACCTATAGAAATTCAGCAGTGGCTTCAGTTTAACTTCCTATCAATGCCTCTCCCTTCCTTCCCAGTGTGTCCCTGCCTCTTACTACTCCTCAATGAAAAGATGTCTGGAATATTTTTCACTTAACTGTTTAAACAGGTAAATTAGGTTTTCACATCTTCACTCTTTGTGTACTGCCATAATTCTGTGGAATGTACATTTTATAAAATAATAAAGCCAATTATTCTTTCAAAAAAGAAAGGATGTGTTTCCATTCTTTCATTTTTTGAAAATAAGTATCCTGAGTGACCTTAACAACTCTATTTTTATAAGTGACTTTCCTAAATAACCCTTATTTTTAAATAACTGATTAAAAAAGCATTTTAAAATGTGAATTACACTATACCCACTATAAAGCAAAATAAGAAACCCTGAGAGGTGAACAAGGACGACAGTCAGCTTTTGCCTTGCCCTATGAGTATCTGCAAGTCATGAAAAACCTGAACTCTGCTTTAATGTCTATATATGAGTGATATGAAAGAAAATCCAAGATGGTGACTTTAATAAAAGACCTAGCACTAAAGGAAGAAAGAGAAATAAACCTTACAACACAGAAGAAGCTAGCAAAGAAACTGCCCATCTTCATCCTGGCACTTAGTGAAGGAAAGAAATAAAAATCTCATTTGAGGTTTCTAATGATAAGCCGTCCTTCATTCACCCAGGCTTCTGGTCCAAATATTAATACATATCAACTGCCTGGGTGATTCGAAGAATCATAAGAAGAAATTTTAATATAAAGTGGTCTAATATTGGTAAACGACTGGAAGATAATAAAAAACATATCTTTTCTAGAGGACATAAATCTGAATTTAAGACTCAAGAAAACCCAACAGATCAAGTTCTAAAGAAAACAACCAGTTCACATTCAAAAAATCACAAAGCATAAACTTGAAAACAAGTTATCACAAGAGCAGAAAACAGATCAACAAACATTTTAGGTAATGGTATCATTACTCAAAGAATATAAAAGGGGAAGCTTAAAAAAACAGCAAGGAAGAAGATTTAGAAAGGAATAAAACAGACTTCCAGTAATGAAAAAATAAATGAATGGATGCAATGCCAACTAGAATGGGAGAAATAGTAAATTGGAAGACCATCTGCAACAATTACCAAAAATATAACCCAGAGAAACAAAGAGATGAAATATACAGGAAAGACGTTAAAGCAAACGGAAAAGAAAATTTAACTTGTGTCAAATTGGAATTCCAGAAAAAGGTAACAGGGAAAACAGCAAAAAGGTCATTAATATTTAAGAAAATGAATGAGAAATTTTCCGAATTGTTAAAACACAATTCCCAGATTTAAAAAGGTCAGTCCCTTTGACATACTATTTAAGATGTATTTGTAATATCCTCCACATTCTTTTAGTTTCCTTTAAATTTTTGTGGCTTTTATCCCCCTCTTTTCATTAGGACATAAACTGAATTTCTTAGGTCTTACTGTTTTTCTTTTTTTAACAAAAATAAATTTTGTATTCCTTTAAAGAAGTTTTACAGAAAGGTATAGATTAGTACTCTGTAACTCAGGAATTTTTCTGAACAAATGTATTTATGTCACTTATTTTAAGTTTGATTTTGAGAAGAATTTGCTTGAAGGCGACCATAAGGGACCAACGTGCAATGGAAACAAGTTCCTAGGCCTCACTCCCTCCTGACCTCCATTTCCCGCCTTAGCCAGTCTTCTAGCTCTGCATTCTTTCGAGCATGATGAGCTATTAGAGCTGATCCTCCAATGATGTGCGGAAGTTTTCCTGCTCCAGGATATGTGACCTATTGAATAATAAAAGCAGTACAGTTAAACATATTAACAAACAAAGATGACCATTTTTTTAAAAGATTAAAAAGCAAAGATTGTAAATCACGTATAAGTGCCAAAGATGTTTATCTTCTATAAATAAAAGTAAGAGAGCAGTAACTCTGTTCTAAATCCATCTGTTTTTCCCCTTATCTTTTATAGCTATTACTATATACAGATCTGGACATGTCATAGGAGTTATATATTAAAAATAATTTAACATTTTTAATTTGGAATTTTTATTTTAAAATGGCCTTACCTTATTTAACAATTAAAACAAGTCAAGATGAACACAGACACTACAAAATAAAGCATTATATTTTGTTCTAATGACTTCAAAGCTTAAGCTCTAATACTGATGAAAATTTAAAACTTTTCAAAAGCTTCCAGTTCACAAGAGTCCTAGCAGATGTTGGAGATGCCAATAATTTATACTTTTAATTGATATTTTGTTTAAAGATGTGCTTTAAGAAAAGCAAATTCCATGTAAAAATGCATATCAAGATAATTGTTAATACTGTATTTAGGAAGTAACAGATCCCTAATATTTGCTTTTAAATTCTAATATATGAAGTAGAAAGAGAATTTTAAATTAATTTTCACCACTAAGCAATATTTTAAAAGTTTAAAAAGAGCCATGGCATTGATTTGGAGGTGTCTTTTGTGTTGCTGTTGTTTTTTTGTTTTGTTTTTGAGACACGGTCTCTCTCTGTCACCTAGGCTGGAGAGTGCTGTGTGAGGAGACAGAAAATCACCTGGTGACCACTGAACAGGCCCCAGAGACAAAAACTTCTTATCTGAGCAATTTGGAAGGGAGCAAAGACCAACTGGTGACCATCAAACAGGCCAACTGGAGGTAAAACTCTGTACCTGGGGAATTTAGAAGTAATCAAACTTCCCTAGTATCTAAAGTTGGCATCTGATTCCAGGCTTCTTTCAACACATATAGGTAATTGAAATTCTTATACATCTCTGGAATCCCATGCTGAAACACATTTTACAATCGAAAGCTCCCATCTTAAGGTCCAAATATTCTCTTGAGAATCTGCCATGGTGCACTGAGTCCTCTCGCTGAGGCAAGAGCACTATTCTGCAGTGTTCTTTCTAATAAACTCTCATTTTCCAAATATATACTGTTGCTGGTAAATTCTTTTTACCAACCCAGGCGCTGACCACTTCCTGGTACTGGGGCACTGATACCTGGCCTGGCACAGTCGTGTAATCTTGGCTCACCGCAACTTCCACCTCCCAGGCTCAAATGATTCTCTGACTTCTGAGGTACCTGGGACTGCAGGTAGACATCACCATGCCTAGCTAATTTTATCTTTTTTTGTAGAGACAGGGTTTCACCATATTGCCCAGACTGGTCGCAAACTCCTGGGCTCAAGCCATCCACGTGCCTTGGCCTCCCACAGTGCTGGTATTACAGGTGTGAGCCACCAGATTCAGCATGATTTGGGGATGTAAAGAATTCCGACAAATTCCTGCACTAGTATCAATCCCATTAAACATATTTCTATACAAATTTTGGATTGGATTTCTTCTGCAGTTTCAGAACAGATTACTTGGTTAAGGACAGCAGTATTTTTAAGCATTCTAAGTATTTCCAAACCACTTTCCAGAAGTTTATATTAGTCATACTTCTTCAGTTATTAATACACCACTCTGTGCCAATAGCAAACATTATTGCTTTTTCTTTGGTTAAACTATAAGAAATGTCTTTTGAATTCTGATTTAACAACAAGATCTTGTAACACAGTATTAAACATGAAGTAACCATGCAGTAAGAATACTTTTGTGCTACTTGTGAGCCAAAGATACAGGGTGAGAAAAAGTGGTGTTAAACAAAAAGGGATCGTGGTGCCATTTAAGTGGAAGATATTTCCATCTTCTGCTCAAAGTAGAAGAGATTCTTCCCATCAAATGGAGTTCAGAACCCTTTAGATACTATCATAGTAGGTAGAAAACAAATTTAACTGTGAAATATTAATAGTAAGTGCTTACAGTAGGGAGAAAAACCTATACTACCTCACAGTCATGACAAGATCATGTTATAGAGAAAGGCAGTTTTTCACAAAAATTACTTTTGGATAATCATTGTACTCTGATCAAATGCATCACTAAAACCTAGCAGTCAGAAGTAGGTCTGGAGCAAAAAGCAAATATAAGACAACAAAAGAATAACTATTGGATAGAAGTCATTTTTTAACCATTACCGGTAAAATAAATATCAGTGTCTTAATAAGCAGAAACTCAGGCCTTATGGTCATACTCAGCATATATATTTATATTGTGTGTTATATGTAAACATAAAAAAAGACTACTGTTTTAATTATTGAATATGCTCAGTTATTTTAAATACATTTTAATCTTCATAAAGTCCTGAGCTAAAGAGCCTCTTCAGGCAGTTGTAGACCAGTATTAGACTAACAGAGAAGATCCTGTGATTATCGAAAAACTTCCTAAGGTAAAGAAAACCAGATAAACAGCAACCTGTAAAGAATTCAATTTTGATGAAACCTATTTCATTCTAGGTGTTCAATATACTCATTAACTGTAAGTTCATGTCCTTCCTAGAGGAATTTTTAAACCATTTTAAGCAGAATAAATAACATCGGTTTTCAATATAAACTGCTTTTTTGTTTAGCAACATTAGTATTTCTAAAAACATTTCAAACACTGTCCTCTTGTGATACAGTTGAAATACCTACCTTTTTGAATTTCTTGAAATTTTTTACTTGACCATAATCATCACTTATGCCAGAAAGATTTCTGGAAGTAGAGTTTTTAATCACCAGTGATTTAAATTCAGTCAATAACAGTTTTCTTGGAAGCATCTCACTTTCATCCTGAAGTCTGTCATTGTTCTTAAACAGGGTTAAGATGGATAGGTAAGAAAGAGAAGAAATAACAAGGAGAAGGAAAGTTACTTGTCATTTGGGAATCTATAGAAAAAAGTTCAAATGCCTGAAAAAATAGTAAAAATGTTTTATTTCTGGTACCTGAATTTTATATTTGGAATCAAATCGTATCTGATTCAAAATAAGGAAACTACTTACTCAAACGTTCTATAACTTTGGAAACATTTATAACATAATCTGTGACAGAAGGCTAAAAACTGAAGGATTTTTAACTTAGTAGGTTATTCTAAGAAATATCATCTCAATAAACAATTTGCCTCCAGATACATGTTTTATTGACACACCATCTCAGCATTGTCTGCTTTTCATTAAATGTACACTGAGATTATTATATATTCTGTTCTCCAGGTGCTCATCTACTTTTCCTAAACTTTCAGGATTCTCAATAGTTTGTATTTTTTATTATTCTTTACATCTCAAAAAACCAATCATCAATTCTGGACATACTACCTTACTAATTGACACAAGATTAATAGCTGTTAAATTCTGAAGAATTTAAATGCCTGAAGAGTTCTTCCTGTTATCTTTCAACTGCTGGATGAGATTCTTGGCTTCATGTCATTTACTATTAACTAGTTACATATCAACATTGTTATAGCTGCTTAAGGTAAGTTCTTAGTTATCTTAGTTCTTTTAACTGCTGAACTATGTAATTAATACGCAAATTGCTAATAGGTCTAAGATAAAAGCAGTCAGAAGAAAAGGTTCATCTGATAGTGACAGAATGTAATCAGGACACTATTAAGAACAGTCTAAACTTTTAGAGTTTACAAATATTTTACATACATTATTTGATATAAACCCTGCTAGAAAAGTGTCAACCTCATTTTATAGAGTATTTGAGGTTCATAAATGTGAAAATTACTTGTTCACAGCCACATATCTAAGGTGAGAAGGCAGGGAATTATACCCCAGCTTCTCTCTATTCTCTTTTCACCGCATCATAGTTGTAATATAATCAATCCATTTCCAGAGGAGGCACAGTCATGAAGCAAGCCAAAATTATTGAAAGAGAAACAATCCTAAGAATGTAAAATGACAAAAATTGATAAGATGACAGTCTCTGTAAGCCAAATCTGTATAAAAATTACTAAAACTTTTCTCACAGATATTTCTTTAGTTGACCATTGTGATTCTTTCTTAAGCTCACGTTTCATCCCAATCTCATTTTCTGGCTTAAGAAATAAAACAAAAAATACCATTCATAGGAGTTATAAAATTCTATCACTTCCTGGCCTTTTGAATAAGATCAAGTGTAAAATGCTACCTTTCTAAAAACTTAAAAGAGATATTCATTCATGTTATGTATGCCCAGATGTTTGGCTTTCAACTGTCTTCCCTAAAGAAATTATGAGATGAAAATATATATTTTGAAAGAGATACTGCAGTATAAGAGCAAATAATTGGGAATTTCCCGCTCTGGGTTCCCCTCCCACAGCAGTGTGGGAATTGTCTTCCCTCTCTGTCTCTCTCTCTCTCTCTCTCTCTCTCTCTCTCATAAATTGCTCTTCTGCAAAACAAAAACAAACAAAAAAAGCAAAGAATTGGAAGCAATCTAAATCCATATAAATAACATGCTTAGGGAATATTTGACAATATGAGAAAATTATTATTATGAGTAAATTTAAAATGACTACAGAATTACATTAACAGCCTGCAAAATAAAATGCAAAGAGAAAATACCAAAATATTAACCATGGTTGTCTGTAGATGGTAGGATTATCAACAAACTGTGAGTTCATTTTATTTTCCACATGTCTGTATGATCGTGTATTACTTTTGTAATAGAAAAAGAAACATTTTAAAGAATTCATTTAGGATTACAATGTAATCTTAAATCATACTTTTAAAGAAGAAACAGTTACTTTAACTGTTCAAGATATTTATCTGTAATAAAAGTGAAGACTGCCTTGTATATAGTTATAGTATCTTTCTTTTTTTTGAGACTGAGTTACCCAGGCTGGAGTGCAATGGCGTGATCTCGGCTCACCGCAACCTCCGCCTCCTGGGTTCAGGCAATTCTCCTGCCTCAGCCTCCTGAGTAGCTGTGATTACAGGCATGCAACACCACGCCCAGCTAATTTTTTGTATTTTTAGTAGAGACAGGGTTTCACCATGTTGACCAGGATGGTCTCGATCTCTTGACCTCGTGATCCACCCGCCTCAGCCTCCCAAAGTGCTGGGATTACAGGCTTGAGCCACCGCGCCCGGCATATCTTTCACATTAACATGTCTGGATCATGTCCTAGACTAAACAATACTACATAAATGGCTAATGCTTTCAGTAAAAACTATAATTCTCTTAGATGCAAAGCAGTGGGCGTAACATTTTATATCGCAATTTCACTAATACAGCAATAAATGATAAAAATTTTTAAAAGGAGGTTGGAAAGGACTGAAAAACAAATGTACTTTGTGCTTGCCTACAGAGTAAAGAGAGTATTTCAATCAATAGTTAGGATTAAATGTATGTTTCAAGCCTATCAAGTGCCATCTTACTTAGGTTGAGCACTTTGACATACAATTTACAGAAAGTTGTTATCAAAGGCAGTACATTTTACTCCCTTTATACATTCAGAATACAAACTCCCTTTATATACCTTCTCCCTATCTTACTCTACTCTCTCAAAGTTGTTCATCCTCCTTAGCAAGTTTTGATTTTCCAACTCAGAGAATCATACCCTCAGACTATAAGCCTGGGAATTATCTTTTATTCTTTCCTATCTATTTACTTCCTATACAAGTAAATCGCCAAGTCTTGGGGATTCAACCTCAATGCCTATCAAACTGCCTTTTATATTAGCAGGCACAATTCCTAGAGTAACTGAATAACTGAGTGAATTACACAGTGAAAGCTGACATAAGGAATAGTCAAAAGAGCAAGGTAGACCTGTGTTTTAGTCCCAGTTGTCAAAAGCTACCTATGTGACCTCGGCAAGTTACTTAACAACTCCCACTGTCAGTTTCTACATGTGTTCAATAAGTATATATTAACTACTTCATTGTAGGGTTGCTGTAAATATAATAATGGTATCCAATAAGTGGCTGCTACTACTACAGAGTACTGGAAAATGCTATCGTTTTAAGAATTTACTACTGGGTATTGAAAAACACTAAATAAAAATGCTTAACTTGAGATAGGAGAGTGGAATGAACGGGAAATATACTGCAGACATGGTGGGTGCTGTTAAGCTGAAGAATGTTAATAAGGATCTTCAGTCAGTTTTGCATTTTATGGAGACTGGGAAATTGAAAGTAAGGCCAAGACTCAGGCACAGCTATCATTTATATAAGGATAAAGTACTAGCAGGAATATTAAGCTAATAGTTTTCCATTTCAGCTGCTAGGAAATCTTACAGACATGCTATAATCTATCTTTAGTTCCAAAAAAAAAAAAAAAATGACTCTTTAGTTCCAAAAACAGAAAAAAATGACAGTTCTACCATCAACATCTTTTGGAAACTGCCTTTCGGAAATGTAACTAAGGATTCCAACACCAAAGAGAAGTATCACATTTTTTGCTTTCATAAAATTGCAAAAAAAAAGGGGGGGGGGAGACTTCAATAAAAGGTTAAGAAGTATTTTTCTCCAATAGTCACTTCTGTACCTAAAAAAATTAAGCACAATTCCGTTAATCCATGAGATTCACAAGGACTTTCAGACAAGTTCTTAAAATGATAAAAATAAAATAGTTTTTAAAAATAACATTACATTGAAAACAGAAATACTTTTGTACCTATTACAGATTCTTACTAAAAAAAATTATAGTGCTGGAATACTGTGATTTAACTTGTAGTAGTCATCCCCGTGGTATTCCTGGGGAATTGGTTCCATGACTTCGCATGGACATCAAAATCTATGGATGCTCAAGTCCTTAATAAAAAATAGCATAGATTTGGCCAGGCATGGTGGTTCATGCCTATAATCCAAGCACTTCAGAGGCCAAGGAGGGTGGATCATGAGGTCAGGAGATTGAGACCATCCTGGCCAACATGATGAAACCCTGTCTCTACTAAAAATACGAAAATTACCTGTGTGCTGTGGTGGTGCACACCTGTAGTCCCAGCTACTCAGGAGGCTGAGGAAGGGAAATCGCTTGAACCCGGGTGGTGGAGGTTGCAGTGAGCCAAGATCTGCACCTGCACTCCAGCCTGGTGACAGAGCAAGACTCCATCTCAAAAAAATAAAAAGAAAAAGAAAAGACAAAAAAAAACAGCACAAATTTTTGCATATAATCCAGGCACATCGTCTCATATTCTTTAAATCATCTCTAGAGTACTTATAATACCTAATACAATGTAAGTGCTATGCAAATAGTTGTACTGTTTAGGAAATAATAATTTTTTAAAAGTCTGCATGTGTACAGATGCTTTTTTTCCCCAAATACTTTCAATCAGAGGTGTAAAATCCAAGGATGTGGGACCCATGGATACAGAGGGCCTACTGTGTCGCAATTAGAGATATCGCAATTGAGTGTGTCACAATCAAATTGCTATTCTCTCTCCAAAAGCCTATGACAACACATTTTATATTGAAATTTTCATTTCAAATGTCATGAATTCTGAAGCAGTAAAATAAAGGAAAAATGGAATTATGCTATAGAATCACAGGGCAAAATAAAATAATTTATTTCCTGATACCATTATACTTCATATAAATCTTACATATTAAATGAAAAGTGTTTCTGGTCTATGAAAGACTCATGGCTCCCATGTCAAGAGTGTACAGTGCTCAATTCTTGACTTTCCCTGTCTGTGTTCTAATGCCCATTGCCCTGACATGAGCCCTGGGAGAAAGTGCAGTGAAAACAGGTCTTCAGGAAGATCAATTAGCAGTCATCCAGGATGAGCCAAAGAGTGCTGTTACAAACTAAAGCCACAACCATTTCCAGACAGATTTGTGGCCACCGTGAGCAGTAGACTAATCTGGGATGGAATTTAAGAGAAAATAGGGGGACTGGGTGGCTACTTCAAAGAATATTAAAGTACGTACTAGGACAAGAAGACTAAAGAAAATAAGAACATATCAGACAAAGTCAGAAATAAATACAGAAGAAAAGGAAGGGAAATGCATTTCCAAAGGTGTGGCCAAAGTAATGTAAAAAGTGCCTAATTTTCTTAACACTTAAATGTAATATTAAGTAACCTGAATACAGATTCTGAAACAGTCTGGAGCTATAGTGACAATGTAAATTCATAATGCAACAGAATAAACACAGCTTTATAAACAGATGTAAATGTATTCAGCTTGGCAAATCATGTCTTGGATTTCAAAAAATGTCACATTAAACTAACTTACCTAGCTCTCCACTATAGTAGAAATTACTACAGAAGTGACTTACCAAATATATAAACCTCTTGTTTCACTTAATGCTTCTGTGAAATGAGAGTCAGTCTTAAATCCTTCACAATGAAAACTTTGCCTCTGAAGTTCCCACTCTGGATGCAAAATGCAATCTGGTAACATCAATTCTCTCTTCCTAAAATACAACTCTTTATCAAGGATAGCAATGTGCCAAGCTTAAAACATTCCCAGACACTTCTAGATTGAGGATAGGAAGGGGCTAAATTATATTCAATTCTAGTCAATAACAAAAGTTACTAAGTTGGGTTTCTAAGAAAGCTCCTTAGAAAACAGGGAGGAATTCAGCTGGAAAGGCCTTTCCCCTGTCCCCTCATCATCGCATTTTTCCTCCCTGGAAAGCAGACATGATGGCTGGAGGCATCCTCTCAAAGAGCAGAAAGACAGGCACCCAGTAAATTAATACCACGGGAAGCAGCTCTCGTTATCTAATTCCAGGCTACTTTTATAGAGGAAGAAAGATCCTATCTTATTTAAGCCACTGAGTTAATTTTTTAAAATATCAAAGGAATTCTTAGCTAACACACTGAGGGAACTTATCCCGGGAAGGAAAACCAGATGTACTGAATGAAAATCTCTGGAGCTCTGGCCTGGGAATTTATATTTTTAAAAAGCTTACCATCTGACCTCAGTGCAGCTGGTCCACAGAAGGGCATTTAAGATTCACACTAAAGAAGTAACAAAGAATAGGGATCCCCTTCCCTATATGAAGATAACAATATACGGGCCAAATAGGACATTTTGTTTTTTGAATAGCAGTTATAGATTTATAAGGTCCTTGATACACACTAGGTTCTCAACTGCTTAACTAATGAACTGTAACTTCCATTCACTTATTCCTATTTTTACACCTATTGCTGTCCTTATTCTGCAGATGTTATATAGGAGGGGATGACTACAGCCATGAATGAATGGAGCTAATGAACCCATGTGGAAGATCAGAATATTGAAGTTTTACTTCATCAGGTCTGTGCTCTCATCTAAAAGAGCTAACAAATCTATATGGGTCAACCTACTGATGTATATGAAAAAGAAAATAATCGCAAGTGTTTTCATAGATCAAAGTGGGTAAGACAAATTAACAACATTCAGGAAAATAGACAAGGACATTAAAAACCTAAATGAAAATGAAAATTCTTAGTGATGTTATATCCTAAAAATTTAATGAGTAGATACTTTATCAACTTCATCCTTCTGTGTCCTGTTTCTTATACTGAAGTATCTCCTATGCTTATCATAGCCAAATGTCTTTTATAATAGTACGGCCTAATTTGGAAATCTATTAAAACAATCTCATATGAAAGTTTAATTTGTGGTCATTTATTTTATACTGTTAAAGAATCACTGTATTTTTAACATTTACCATTTACCTTATTATCCTACAAATTCCTATACTTTAACAGTACTGAGTGTTAAAGACAATGGATGCTCATGTTGTCAGTACAAAATCTAAACTATGTATTAACATTCTAAGCTTCTATGTGCTATACGGTTCATTTAAAATGTTACTTACAGATATTTTGCTACTTTCTGGTACTGCTTCATCACTGAAAGTGTCATTTGTTTCTATATCCATCCTTGGCCTTTTCCTAATACTGACATCTTCCTCTTGTTTTTGAACTTTCACATCAATTTCTAACTCTGGTTTTGTGTCCTTGAATAACTGTTCCAATACTTCATCTTCTATGGCCACATCATCCATTTCTCTTTTTTTATTTGATCTTAGCTCTTCTGCAGAATGAGATTTACTGGCAGAATTTTTCACACTGGATTCTAAATCTGTATCTGTAAATAAGTTATCTGACTTTTTGTCCACAGGCTCATTCCGAGATAGATGCTGCTCCTTATTTTTCCATAGTGAGGGTGTAGCAGGTTGTGTTTGTTCTAAAAGAGAACAAGACATTTCTATTCTTGCTGATTTGCATGAAGACATTTCTTGATTTTCTTCATCCCTTTCCCTTAGATTTTTAAAAAAAGAAGAGAACAAAACAAGAAAATGAACACAGTGAAGTAATCTTTTAGTTTGGCAATATTTATCACTCCATCCACTTAGTTCACAATGTACTCTTGATTTTATTTAATAATATTATTGATTTTATTTAACAATATTACTGGAAATCAACAAATAGACATTTGACAACAGTGCAGAACTCATGCACATTCTGCTGGTTTCATAGAACTGATGGACTCTGTGACTAAAGCAATATGGAGATCTCTATCTTCTCTGCTTAAGTTGCATTAGTTGATAAATCATAGGAAAAGGCAGAAAAATATAAAAATACAAAGAACCTGTTGCCAGGAGACAGCAGCTTACTTTATAGTAAGGTTGTGGGCAAGGAAAATTATCCTGGGAATATAATCTGATGGGGTAATGAGAGAGGGATTCAAGATATTAAGTCAGAGTGACTAAATCTAGAATATGGTACTGACTGTATACTGCAAATGCTGTGTGAATATATCACTAAAAGGTTTCTATACAATACTGTATCATTCATTCAATAAATACTGAACACTTTATGCAAACTACACTAAGCCCATAGAGGACACAAAGACCTGGGACTCTGTTCTCCAGTTTATTGGATTCATGTTGAACTAGAACAGGCAACCCAATATTCTATTAAAACTAATTTAATGCCAAGGTACTGGAAAAATCAACCAATTAAAAGATTTTTGTAATAATTTAGATGGTCAGAGTTTGAACCTGGCAATAGATGGAAATGGAGGGAATGATGACACTGAAAATGACAAACAATAATGCTGATTTTGGGAGCCAGAGGACAAAGAGTCAAAAATTGTAACAATGTAAGCTATTATACTACAAAAAAAAAAAAAAAGCCACACACATTCAATGAGGTCTGTTACTTGGGAAACAGCATGAAACCCCTGTGGAAAAGGAGAAGTGAAGCTTAAAGGAAAAATTAGGGCCAGATGTGTTGATCGTCTGTAATAAAGTCTCAAAACCTGAAGGTAGAGCATACAGAGTATAAAGAGCAATAGGGGGAAGAAAAGTCCTCCAAAGTTCATATAGAAATGGAAGAAATAACATCATCTTTTTTGAGAAGCTTAACAGTGACAGTACAGGACAAAAGGCAGTAGTAGCTAGAGGAAGAAACCAGGTCAAGAGAACGTTTTCAAAAATAAAGGTGAGATTGAGCTTTTGAAAACAGAAGAAAAAAATCTAGGATGATCAATATATTCAAAATATGGAGATTAAGAAAATAATTGATGGAATAAGGTCCTAGAGGGAGTGAGAGAGGTTATCAAGGAAAACAGTAGAAATGCGATTTTAGAACTGAGATGGGGGTTAGTTCTCATTCAAGAGAAGTGCAGCAAGTAAAACAACACGTAAGTACCTGCATAAAAGGAGATGAAGGAGAATCTGTCTACTGGCTCTAGTAAAGGAGATCAGGGACATTTCTGAGAGGGAAAGGGGCCAAAAAGCCTCAGCAGGAAAAGCATACTTAATCAGAACACACTAAACAATACCATGCTACAACAGTATAAAATATTTTCATATTTTTTTCAGAGACATGAGAGAAGTTATCAAAAACAGACCTTTTTTTGGTAGACAGCTTAAAGTAGTTTTTGATGGAGTTGGTCTGCTGTTGCTGAGAAGCCCTATCTTTACTTGTATTTACACTTGGGAAATTAGTTGGTGAAAGCTGATAGTTTGGAATTGTCATCTTAACCAAAGGATTTGATACCATACTATTATTATTACAGCTTGTTTTGCAGGACTCCTTTATAGTGGATGTGTCTTGTGAAAGCATTTTGAAATTTTGTTCCATGTTGGAGACTTTGATTTCTTTTGGCCTTTCACTCAAATCCATACTGTAGGAAAAAAAAAAAAAGAATGCAAGGTAAACAATCAAGTTTATAGCAGCTTTAATATAGAAACAAAGATGGTTAAATAGTTCTAATGTAAAATAACTTTAAGGTAATTTTTAGACAATAATCCACTGAATATATTTTACCATCCCAAGAAAGCAACTCCTTTGTGCCTAAGCATCCTGTGAAAAGACGACACCTTACTCTTCTTCACCTCCTTCAGTACATATTGTTGCACTACTATAAACAACTGCCAAACACACACAGAATACCAACTTAGGATAGCCTATTGTAAGTTAAACAAGGTGATAATCCTAGGCAATTTGAGTTTTATTTAAAAAGTTTAAATTATTCCCACGTAAAGTACTATTACTATGGTACTTTTATCATTACTTATAGTACTTTTTAAAATTAAAAATGGAAAATCAGAAAAAAATCACATATAAGATTTCAGGTCACTGTGAACTGATATTATTATACTTCAGCCAGATGGCAGTCTCTAGAATAGAACTCTAGATTACCAGAAAAATATTTTAAACATACATGCAAGGAGTTTTACAAAGTATGGTTAAGTATGTTGCCTTTGCTATTCTTATTTTACAAAAACAAAAACAAAACAAAAACCAACAACAACAACAAAAGAACAAGAGGTCATGCTGTCATTGAAGCAACTTCCAAAACCTTAACAATTTCTCTTGAAAAAGTTAAATCTGGCCTCAATATGAGTGTAGCAAAAAGGGGAAAAAAATATGGTTTATCATAGTGATATCGTAAGTATCTTAATATGACCACTTTATTATGTAACATTTAAAATAAAAACACAGTTGTAAGTAGAAAAATACCAAAAAATACAAAAGAGCTAACCCCCTCCAGTCACAAAAACAAATGAAACCCCTCTTCAGATAAAGAACCACAGAAAAATGATCTTTATGGACAAATATTAACTATTCAGACAGTTAAGTAGACCCATATAAAGTATCTTCAAAATTATAAGTAACATTCAAATACAGGCAACATCATACAATACAAACACATGTATTTCAAACTTATCTCACCAGTTACAAATAAGTTGAACAATTCTTTCCAATCATCCATGCACATTTGCAAGGAGTAAAAAAAAAAACCATCCTAAGACAGGAATTGCCAAACCACAGCCTGTAGACCAAATCTGGTCTGCCATTTATTTTTATAAACACAGTTATTAGAACACAACATATTCAATTACAGTCAGACACCACATAATGATATTTCTGTCAACAATGGACTGTAATATATGATACTTGTTCCATAAGATTATAAAGGAGCTGAAAAATTGCTCACCACCTATTGACAGCACAGTGCAACCCATTAACTGTCTATGGTGATGCTGGTGTAAACAAATCTGTGCTGCCAATCATATAAAAGTATAGCTCAATAGCACATACAATTTGGTACAGTATACAATACTTGATAATAACAAATGACTATGTTACCAGTTAATAAATTTACTATATTATACTTTTTATCATTAGAATGTACTCCTTCTTACAAAAAAATAAATTAACTTTAAAACAGTCTCAGGCAGTCCCTTCAGGAGGGATTCCAGAAGAAGGCATTGTTATCACAGGAGACGACAGCTCCATGTGTGTTAGTGCCCCAAAGGCCTTCCAGTGGGACAGGATGTGTCGGTTGAAGACAGTGATTGTGATGATCTTAACCCTGTGCAGGCCTATGCTAATATGTATGTTTATGTCTTTGTTTTTAACAAAAAAGTTTAAAAAGTAAAACAAAAATTTAAAATTTAAAAACAGAAAAAAGCTTATAAGAATACGAAGAAAATATTTTTGCACAGCTATACAATGTTACAAGTATTTTAAGCTAAGTGTTATTAAAGTTTATAGAGTAAAAAAGTTATAGTAAGCTAAGGTTGATTTATTATTGAAGCAAGAACATTTTCTGTATATAAATTTAGTGCAATCTAAATGTAGTGCTAATAATGCAACAATCATGTACAGTAATGTCCTAGGCCTTCACATGCACTTACCACTCACTCACTGACTAACCTAGAACTTCCCGTCCTACAAGCTCTATTCATGGTTAAGCGTCTTATACAGGTGGACCACTTTTTATCTTTTATACAGTACTTTTCTGTACCTTTTCTATGTTTAGATACCCAAATACTTCCCATTGTGGTATCATTATGTATAGTATAAGTACAGTAACATGCTATATAAGTGTGTAGCCTAGGAGAAATAGGCTATACCAGTGGTCCCAAACCTTTTTGGCATCCAGGACCAGTTTCGTGGTGAGGATGCAGGGAGTGGCAATGGTTTCAGGATAATTAAAGCATTATTTATTGTGTACTTTATTTCTATTATTATTACAGTATAATATATAATGAAATAATTATACAATTCACCATAATGTAGAAACAGTGAGAGCCTTAAGCTTGTTTTCCTGCAACTTAGACACTCCTATCTGGGGGTGTTGGGAGACAGTGACAAATCATCAGGCATTAGATTTTCCTAAGAAGCACACAGCCTAGATCCCTCACATGCAGAGTTCACAATAGGGTTTGCGCTTCTATGAGAATCCAATGCTGCTGCTGATCCTACAGGAGGTGGAGCTCAGGTGGTAATGCGAGTGATGGAGAACAGCTGTAAATACAGATGAAGTTCTGCTAGCTTGCCCGCTGATTACCTGCTGTGTCACCTGGTTCCTAACAGGCCACGATACTGTGGCTAGGGGGTTAGGGACTCCTGGGCTATACTATATAGCCTAGGCATATAGTACACTATACCACGTAGGTTTGTGTCAACACACTGTTTGATGTTCACTCAATGCCAAAATTGTGTAAGGAGGCATTTCTTTCAAAGTATCCTTGTCTTTAAGCTATTACGTATTGTCTCTTGACAATGACTACATATTGTCTATGGCTGCTTTCATGCTACAATGGTAGAGTTGAGGAGCTAGGACAGAGATCAACAGTCCTCTAAGACGAAAATAACTACTCTCTACTCCTTCACAGAAAACCTGTTGATCCCTGTCCTAAGATATCATTTTCCCTGGCATCCCACTCTCCCATGCTGTATCCCTCAAGAGACAACCTGATCAAGATATTTACTTCCCGAATATACTATTAATTTATAACAAAGAAGCTTTACCAGGTATCTGCTTGCTCTGATTCTGTATCAGCCACATATGTTGTAGTGTTCACTGGGGCGCTTGGCATTAGTTTTTCATCAAATGACAAGCCTTGTGAAAGGCTTGGTCCTGGAGTAGTTGTCTTTAGTCCTGTAAATCACACAAGTAGAAAGAAAAAAATCACAACTGCTAGATATGAGATGGACATTTGGTCACTTCAAATTGTTAGTCTATGCCATGCGGATGGGATTAGCTATCGAATATTGCACATGGTTGTCTCCAACGAGTGCCACCAACAAACACAGAACAGTCTATAAGCAGCCTGTTGGCATCTATGACAGCCTTATCTAAACCCAATCATTTTAAAGTTACTTCTAATCCTTTGTGCTAAAGTATTATCAACTTAAAGAAAAATAAAATAAGCAAATTCTAATTCAAATTATGTGTTAAGTTAGTGAGCCAAAAAAATTATATTTATTCCTCCATGGAAAGTATACACACACTACCATCTACAAAAATCAGAATCAGTATGAGTTTTATTTTCATGAGGAATACATTATTTGGAACAAATCATGTAAAACCATGTTAGACATAAACTTTTAGGCTACTCCAGAAAACTATCATGAATACCTCATCTTTTTACTTACCAGAAGAGCAACTTAGTTCAAGTGCCACTCTTCTGGAATACTTTTGGGCCTCCCACAATGAATTAAGTGCTCCCCAATTCTGCTTCTATACCACCATGCATATCACTCTATTAACAATTCAAGCCAGGTGCAGTGATTCATGCCTGTAACTGCAGTACTTTGGGAGACTGAGGCAGGAGGATCACTTGAACCCTGGAGTTTGAGACTAGCCTGGGCAACACTGGGAAACTCTGTCTCTACAAACAAACAAACAAAACAACAACAACAGCAAAAACTTGCCAGGCATGGTGGCACACACACTTGTGGTCCAAGCTACTTGGGAGGCTAAAGTGGGAGGATCACTTGAGCCCAGGATGTCAAGGCTGGAGTGAGCAGCTATCATGCCATGGCACTTCAGCCTAAGACCCTATTTCAAAAAACAACAACAAAAAAGCAATAAACAAAATTCACTTATGACTAGCTGGGAGACCTGTGTCAAGTTATCTGACTTTTCTATGCTTCCATTTCCTCATCAATAAAAAGGGAATAATTACAACATCCTCCTCACACAGTTGTTTGGAAGGTAAAATAGCCTCTAGAAAAATGCTTGGAACACAGTAAGCACTCTGCCAGCATTAGCTGTTATCATTATCATCACTTTACTTGTTTACTTGCTACTTTCCCTCGTTAGACTGGTGTCTCCTTGAGAACAGGGATTAAGCCTCGCTTATGTCTATATCACCAGTACTTAGAGCAATTTTTGGTATAGAGTAGACATATAAAAAGTTTACAGATTAAACTGTTAACTGAAAACATTTTTAAGTTGATATTTACTAAATACCTAAGTTAAATTATCATTCTGTTAGGTCCTAATGACATAAGATGTGCTTAATAAATATTTATTACTAATTCTAAATTCAGATACTTAAATGACTTCTGCCACTTTCCCTATGTGACCTCTAGAAGCTCATTGGCATTTCCTTTAAGACACATATCTCTAGAATTCATTTTCACTTGTACATAAGTTTAGAAAGAGTATAAATTCTAATGTTTATATAATCACTGAATAATTTAGTATAGGCTCGGTAAGGTGGCTCATTGCTGTAATCTCAGCACTTTTGGAGGATGAGGTGGGAGGACTGCTTGAGGCCAGGAGTTAAAAGACCAGCCTGGTCAACACGGTGAGACTTCATCTCAACAAAAAATTTAAGAATTAGCTGGGCATGGTGGTGCACACCTGCACTCCCCGCTACTCAGGAGGCTGAGGCAGGAGGACTGCTTGAGCCCAGGAGTTCAAGGCTGCAGTGAGTTATGATCATGCCACTGTACTCCAGCCTGGGTGACAGAGCAAGACTTTATGAAATAATAACAATAATTATTATAATAAGCTAATGACCCCAAATAACTGGTGTTTGTTAACAGATTACTTAAAATTTTCTCCTTGTTAAAAATACCACAAAGGCAGGAACTTGGTTTCATCTATTCACCTCTTTATTTCAACTGTCTGCCATAATACAGGTATATAACAAATGTTCAATAAATATTTGTTGAACAAAAAAGTGAATGTAAAAATATAGGAAGGAAGAGAGAGAAGGGAGACATTCCTTCTGTTTCCCCAAAGTTGAGTGTGCTATAAAATTATTTTAAATATCAGAGGACTATGACTTGGAACCCACATAAACCTACCTGTGAAAATGTACAAGAGCTAATGCTACCCATTACAGTATACTTTTTAATTCACTCTCATGACTTTGTTTCTATATGAATTAATACATTAGAAAATCAGCCTGGTAGTCAGAAAATCAAACTTTAGAATTGGCTTAGCTATGAAGTAGTTATGGACCTTAACTTTGCCCAGTCTTCATATACCTTATCTTTTAATAGAATGATTAGATGATTTCTAAGTCCCTTTCAACTATAAACACAGTTTCAACAGTGGGTGACAGAATTTTGTTGCTCCACACTGGAAAAAATAATCTTGTCTACCAATAGCTTAGTTCAATTACTCCAAATATTTATACCTACTACAAACAAGTACCATGCTTGCTGCTGTTAGGGGATCCCAAATTATTAAGAGCCTACAATCCATCTAGTGGCTGAAAGAGGCATGGAAACAACTGGTTATACTCAAAGTAGGAAGAAACTCCAGTCAGAATGCAAAAAATTTACTGGAGCATAGAAAACTGAGTAATTAAATCTGCCTTGGAGGGGCTGGGAGAGAATACAATTTAGAAAAGCTTCACAAAGAAGGTAATCATTTGTAGAATGAGTCAGATTTTGACAAGCAGTACTGAGCATTCTAGGAACAGAACATGATCAAAGTGAGGAAGTGTGGGAACTATTAAAAATACAGTACACAGGCTAGGCGCGGTGGCTCAAGCCTGTAATCCCAGCACTTTGGGAGGCCGAGGTGGGTGGATCACGAGGACAAGAGAGCGAGACCATCCTGGTCAACATGGTGAAACCCCGTCTCTACTAAAAATACAAAAATTAGCTGGGCATGGTGGTGCGTGCCTGTAGTCCCAGCTACTTGGGAGGCTGAGGCAGGAGACTTGTTTGAACCCAGGAGGCAGAGGTTGCGGTGAGCCGAGATCGCACCATTGCACTCCAGCCTGGGTAACAAGAGCAAAACTCTGTCTCAAAAAAAAAAAAAAAAAAAACAGCACACGTATTCTGTAGAGAGGCTTATGTAAAAAAGGTGAGGATGGGAGGAAGGCTACTGAGGACTCAGAAGTGTAGACAAAGGGCTTGGAGGTTAATTCTGTAGTTAATAAGAACCAGTAAAACTTTTTGAGAAAAGAAAAGGTAAGTTAATAGTTGCATAGTGAAATATTAACTGTAGAGATAACTTGGAGTAAGGACTATTACCAGGGCAATTATTAATAAACCAACTCTCCAGAGAAAAGGATACAGAGGGTTCAAACAGGGCACTGGCTGTGAGAAGGGGACAGTCACAGACCTCTTAAGCAGAAGCTGTACAGTGAGAATTTCAGGTCTTGGTGATAAAATGGAAAAGGAAGGATGAAAAATGACCAAAGTTTATAGTCTGAGTGCTCCTTCCTTTTATACAAAAGAAGACTCCTCTCTAGTTCAGTTCTTCCCAAGATATTCTAATTTAGTGGTTTCTGGAGTTTGTTTAGGAAACAGGAGCTTAAAAATCAAACAATACAAACCAAAAACCTCAGATGCCTAGGATGCATCTCAGAATGTTCTAAGTCATGGAGAGTGTAAGTTTGTATTAAAAATGGATTCTGAAGCATGTATCTAGTTGAAAATTCATTTTCTAAGCAGAGAAACACAGGACAGTTACCCCAAATGGGTGCTGAGTCAAGGGGTGCTACTGACTTAGATCTAATCACTGTTTTTATATATTTATTGTTATAGTCTAAAATTATTGATACTGGTCTTTTTTCTGTAACAGAACAGGAATCTATCAACAAAATAATATCTATAGCACTTGTTAGTTCTAAAAGTTGTGCATATTTCTAGTAGACAAGGAAGGAGTAGCTTCTCTAAAAATATGGCTCTCTTTGGTGTCCACATTAAAAAAACTTCTCTTGCCAAGAGGCTGAAGAACTGGCCTTTAGCTTTTCACTTCATGGGTGAATTCTGGGAATTTGGTGAAAATATTCATATCACAATTCTACCAAAATAAGTTATTTGGATATATTTAAAACTTTACTAGGACTTTAGAACTATGTGTTTTTGAAGGTTACCTATGTACAGACAAAAACATATCTAGTATACTCAACGGGAGAGGGTAGAGATGTCAGTTGAATAAACATTCTTATCCAAATAATAAAATACTAGCCTGTCAAATTTTATCAGATGTTTATCCTTTTGTATCAGCTCCCAGTCATTCCTACATCATCATTTCTCAAAATGTCACACATTAAAATATAAGCCATTTGTACTGCAATGTAATAATGTTATAACAGCTTTAAGACTCAGTTTGAACCAATTACTTGCTATGTGACCTCCAGCTAATTTCCTAACCTTTCTGTGAGCTCCTCCATTTATGAAAAGTAGATGATGCCCTTCCCTCTATCTTAAAAGGATTGTTCTGCAGATTAGTTCGATGATGTACATAAGTGCTTACTCTAGTCTCTGCACACTCCAGAGACCGCAGTTATTACTACAACTCATGGTTACTAATGATCTACGTATCTAATAGCTTCCTGGTCATTAGGCTCTAATGGTTAACTCCTTCCAAAATTTAGCTTGGTACACTCCTTACTTGTTTAAACCAAGGTTGCAGAGCACTCAGGAGATACACTGACTGACTCCATAGTTGTTGTTCAATGGACTACAGTGTGAATGACGCTCCCGGGAGTGTGCAAAGAGGTGGTGCTGTTCTCTAACTTGCCACTTTTCGCCAAAGTTCAATAGCTCCCAATGAAATAACTACAGAACAAATCTAGGAAGCAAATAAATATATATATAGGAATACAGAATGGATGTTCTGAGAGCTAGGCAAATTAGAGAAAAGTTAGCAGAGAGAATGTAAAAATCTCCAAAGTCAAAAAGCAAGAAGAAAATAAAGAACCTATTTTTATAATGGCTTATTTAAAAAAATATTGAAAAACTATGGAAATGTGTTTTAAATAATAAAAGGGAAATAGTGACTGTCTCCAAATACATTGGCTTTCACTGAGTGAAAGTGATTAACACTGAGATGATTATAATGCACATTCTTCATCTCAGTAAATGGCATTACTATCCACCCTGGCATAAGTTGCCAGAAAATTAGGAGTCATTTCTAACTCCTCCACAGGAAAGTCCCACCGGGTCTAGTTCTAATATATGTTCTGAATCTGTTCATTTTTCTGCATCCCTACTACTATCATGCTGGTCCAAGGCACAGGTTCTTTTGCATCTAGACTTCCACGATAGCATTCTATTCATATCTCCTCTTCCATCGTCAACCCTTAGAATTCTTCACACAAAGTGATCTGTTTCTCCTACCTGAAATTATCCACCACCCAGATCCTCACACAGCTGCCTTTTCTCATCATTCAGGACACATGGCTCAAATGTCACCTCCTGAGACCTTCCTTGAATACCTATCTAAAACAGCCTACTATCATCACTATTACATCACCTTGTTTTACCTGTCTTTATACTTGGCTCGGTCTGAACTTATCATGTATGTTTGTTTGTTTGCTTGTTTACCAAATCCTGATCTTCAGAACATGAAGTTCACAATAATAAGGATCTTATTGTATTTACCACTTCATGATGGTGTCCGCTACATGGCAGCCACAAATACTTACGGAATGAATAAATGAGTGAAAGTATAAACGGATGAATTTTAAACGATGGCAAATATGGTCACCTCTAGCAAGCATGAGTAATATATATTTAGCTTATCAATTTACATAATAAAGTTGCTAATGAATCAACAAAATAATGCTTTAATTACCTGTACTGGGATGGCCCCGAGGATCACAGTAATTCTTTGTAGTCATGAAAATAACCGCCAATCCAATTTCTGCTTCAGGAATAGGTCTAAGGCCTTGCCTAGTAGAATAAAATAGTTTAAGCATGATAATATATTAAAACTGGCAACATTTACTAAGCTGATGTCGAGATAAAGCAACCTTTTTTCTTTCCCAAATAGTTTTATGGTATGGACAGAATTTCAAATGCAGAGTACTATAATAGCTTACTCGCTAGGACACTGTTATGTTAACAAGTCCACCATCTTTTAGAAACCCCATTAACTTCATCTGTAAAATAAGCGGCTAGAGTAAAGGATATAGAGCTTCCGCGTTCTAAAATTCTGTAATTTTGGGAATAAAAAGAAAACAATACTACCCAAGTTAAAAAATAAAACAGGCTTTTATGGCCGGACACGGTGGTTCACACCTGTAATCCCAACACTTTGTGGGGCCAAGGCGGGTGGATCACTTGAGGTCAGGAGTTTGAGACCAGCCTGGCCAAGGTGGTAAAACCTCATCTCTACTAAAAATACAAAAATTAGCTGGGTGTGGTGGTACATGCTTGTAATCCCAGCTACTTGAAAGGCTAAGGCAGGAGAATCGCTTGAATTTGCGAGGAGGTTGCAGTGAGCTGAGATCATGTCACTGTACTCCAGCCTGGATGAAAGAGCAAGACTATATCTGAAAAAAAAAAAAAAAAAAAAAAAAAAAAAAAAAAAAAACCCACAACAGGCTTTTATAAACAAATCTATGAATACTATGATCCTAAGATGAAACTTCAAAGAGAGGAAAAAAGAAAGAGGAAGGACAGAGAGTAGACAGAACCACACCTAAGGTATATGTATATAAGTTACACCTTTCAGTAAATCAAACCATTTTGACAAATTTACATGTATTAAGGTATTTTTATATTACAGGGATCTTCTGGTGAACCTATTTTTTGTTGTTCTGTAATGTCAATGACTGGTTTTATAACAACAAAAATATACAATTGAATATCATATAAAAATTACACCTCAAAGTTTAACAAAGAGCTACAAAATGATACAGTTTTAATACAGTTTTTTTTTTTTAAGACAGAGTCTCGCTCTTTCACCCAGGCTGGAGTGCAGTGGCACAATCATGGCTCACTGCAACCTCTGCCTCCCAGGTTCAAGTAATTACTGTGCCCTCAGTTTCCCAAGTAGTTGGCACCACAGGCATGCACCACCACACCCAGCTGATTTTTGTATTTTTAGTACAGACAAGGTTTCTCTATGTTGGTCAAGCTGGTCTTGAACTCCTGGGCTCAAGTGATTGCCTTCCTCGGCCTCTCAAAGTGTTGAGGTTATAGGTGTGAACCACTTTGTTCAGCTAAGATACTTTAAATGGTTAGTTTGTAAGGTCTTTTTCAAATGCTTAATGTGTCTTTTTGTGTGTTTTGTGTTTAAATAGGATTCAGTTACTATACAATTAAAGTATCAGACTAAAAAAATAAAATTTTTAAAAGCATTATAATCAATTGATCACATATACCTACCTATAATTCAGGCAATTCAAAACTGGTAATTTATTATTCTACTAACTTTTACAACTACAGATTATACTATGTGAATTAGTTATAAAGAATGGCTACATAAAATAGAAATGTTTTAATATATATTTAATAATGCAGAAATTACAATATCCTTAATGGAGAAACACTGGGAACATTTATTTTAAAGTCAACAGTGAGATAAATGTGGCCACTATCATCACTTCTATTCAACATTGCTCTGGAGGTCCCAGTTGGGATAAAACAAAGAGACAAAAAAAGAGGTATCAGAGAAATAAAGATTAGAAAGGAGTATAGAAATATTCCTTATAGATGATATGATTTATAGAAAAGACTAGATAAATTATTAGGAAAAAAGAGGAGTCTGGCAAGATGGCTAGATATAAGGTGAATAGCTAAATGTCAGCTGAATTTCTTCACATCAGTAGTGATCTAGAAAATGTAAAGTGACAATATCATTCACTTATAATAACATCAGAAAACATATACTAGCTAGGAATAAATCTAATAAGATATTCAAGATCTCTATACACGAAGTATAAAATTCTATTAAGAGATTTCAAGAAAACCTAAATAAATGGAGATACCACATTCAAGGATAATAACTATTAAAATTTACATAAATTGTTAATTTTCAAGTTGACTTGTAGATTCAACACATTTCCTAATCAAAATCCAAACAAACTTTTACAAAAGATGATTCTAAACATATATGAAAAAATAAAGGGCCAAGAATAGCCAGGAGCTTCCAAATTAGAGCAAGAGACTTGTTCTACCAGCTAGGAGGACTTCATGGAAGTTATACCAATTAAGACAATGTGGTACTGGTACAAAGAAAGGCAGACTGATGAATAAAAAAGATAAAGTAAAAAACACAGCAGTGCATATATGTAACCTTGCTATAAAACAGAACTCTTGGCTCATGGCTGTAATCCCAGACCTTTGGGAGGCCAAGGCAGGTGGATCACCTGAAGTCAGGAGTTCAAGATAAGCTGGGCCAACGTGATGAAATCCCATCTCTACTAAAAATACAAAAATTAGCGAGGCGTGGTGGCGGGTGCTTGTAATTCCAGCTACTTGGGAGGCTGAGGCAGGAGACTCTCTTGAACCAGAGAGGCGGAGGTTGCAGTGAGCCAAGATCATGCCACTGCACTCTAGCCTGGGCAACAAGAGTGAAACTCCGCCTCAAAAAAAAAAAAAAAAAAAAATTCCAGATAAGTTTAAAACAAATGTCAAGAACAAAAGATGGTATCAAACGACTGGTTAAAAAAAAAAAAAAATATGGGTGAGTATCTTTAAAGCACTGACTAAAACATAAAAGATTAACTTTTACTATACAGCAAGTCCTTGAATAATGTCATTTCATTCAATGTCATTTCATTATAATGTTGGCAAGAAAAAACTGATTCCTAGCCAGGGCCACTGTCTGTGTGGAGTTTGCACTCTCCTCCAGTGTCTCTGTGGGTTTTCTGTGTGTACTTTGCTTTACTACCACATTCCAAACAGGTGTGCATTCAGTGAACTGGTGTGTCCAAACTGCCCCAGTCTGAGTGAGTGTCGGTGGGTGTGAGTGTGCCCTGCAATGAAACAGTGTCCTATACAAAGCTGGTACCCACCTTGTACCTTGAGCTGCTGAATAGGGTCTGGCTACCCACAACTGTAAACTGGATTCGAGATGATAGTTATTTCACACAGAAGACTGGGCTAGGGGTAACCATGTAACTTATTTTCAAACATCTGGCTGGTATTTTAGATGATAGATTTTTCAGATGCTTACTCTCTGAAAAATAACTACTTAAATAATTGGTGAACAAAATCAACATGTATTATGTATGGATCAATGATGAGCATGTCACCAACCGAGGATTATCATTCATCCAATTCTGTGCAAAGCTACGAAACAGGTCAGGAGAGAAGAAAAAGCAAGAGGAGATAATAAAGATGAAATAACTAAATTAATAAAAGGAAGAGTTACCAAAATTTGAGCTGAGATACTGAAAAAATGTCTCAGTAAGAACAAAAATCAGGGTTGTATTATTTCCTTGGACTTCTAATCTTCTCTGGATGAGACTTAAATCTTTACCACTGATTTCTTACATTCACTTCTGACATCCAATCAATACAGCATGACAGTCACCAATCATAATGTTGCCCTGCTGAAGTTCAGTCAAGAGCTGGCTTTACTGGTCACTCTCCTTCTTATAATTGCTCTTTCATTGGCTTGAACTAAGTTAACAGGTATTATTTTAAGTGACAGTCTTTCTCAAAATATAATACTGTATTCCCTGCAAAAAACATATCGTGGCTAGGTACGATGGTTCACACCTGTAATGCCGGCACTTTGGGAGGCTGAGGCAGGAGGATCACTTGAGCTCAGGAGTTCAAGATCAGCCTGGGCAACACGGCAAAACCCCATCTCTACAAGAAATAAAGAAATTAGCAGCAGTGTGGTGGCATGTGCCTACAGTCCCAGGTACTTGGGAGGCTGAGGAAGGAGAACTGCTTGAGCCTGGGAGGTGGAGACTGCAGCGAACCGAGATCACACCACTGCACTCCAGCATGGGCAAGGGAGTAAAACCATGTCTCAAAAGAACCCCCCCAAAAACCCATATTGTAACAGGGGCCAAGGGTCACCTCATGATCAAGGCACCAGCATCTGAACTACCTTGTATTCCAGCTTGTTTATTTGTTTGTTTGTTTGTCTTTTACCTCAGAATGTCTATATATGCTGAAAGTGACAAGCTTGGCCTCCAGAATCAGATTGCCTAGGCTCACATTCTGGCCACCTTGCTCTCTCCCTCTGTTCTATGTAATCCCCCTTCTGCCTCAGTTCCCTCATCTGCACAGAGAGGACCACAACAGTAATTAACATATGAGGATGAGGATTAAATGTTTTTACATACATAAATTCTTAGGCCAGGGCCTGCTATGTAGGATAGCGTTTGGTTTTTTTGTTTATTTTTTAAAATATGTATTACCGCTATTGCTCTACCTGGCACATTCTTTGTCTGGCTCTTTGAAGACTGGTCATAGGTAAGACATTGCCTGAAAGAGGCCTTCTCTATTTAGAGTAAGCTTATTCTCCACTGCCAGGTTACTGCTTCCTTTATATACTATTGTAATGATATTTTTACTTGGGTCTTTCTCTGTCTCTCCCTCTAGACAGTAATCTCCAGTGATGGCAAGGACCATGACTATCTTGCTTTCCACTATATTTCCAGTGCCTAAAACACAATGGAACTACAGTAAATTTGTGCTGTAGTAGCAAGACAGTATTTTTGTTATACAGTGTATTTTCTCTTTTACGGTAGTTAACATATCTCAATTAAGGAAAATATTTAAAGGATAAATGACTAAAATTTTACTTTTTATTTCAGCAAGCCCATAAGAAAAAAACAAAAACAAAAACAAGAAAATCCCCACGGTGAGAAGGAACTCCTGGGACAGGAAAACTGAATCTTTTGTAGGAGCTGGCTATGGACTTTTCAGGCATACAAATACTTTAGGCCTCACCTACTTTTTGCTACTTGAAGAGCAATTTAGTCAAAAGACTGCCAAACCTGATATTTCCAGAGTACTTCCTGGCTTCAGTAATGCTAAAATTATTAATGCCAATTAAGGTCTAAAAAAACAAAACCTTCAATCAGCTCTTTCACAGTCTCCCTCCACACTACAAATATCATTTCAACCTATCTGACTTTTTTTCTGGTTTCCCGTAATAGCCTAAATAAGGATAGACATTTTTATATGTCCTTTTAATGGATAATAATCATCAAAGGGCAAATATATTTCAACTCTAGGCAACTGCAGAAAACCATTTCTTCGAGTTTTAACTTTCTCAACTGCAACATATTCTGTAAAAAAACACTACTTTGTTAATTTACAGAGATAAACTACAAATCCTATTAAAGTAATAAAAAAGCATAAAATATTTTGAGTAAAATTGTCATGAATAAAGATATTCTACATCTGAAATACCAAGTCACAATTAATTTTCAAATACACTATACCATAAAACCTTTTATTAATTCTTGTATCAGGCAGGCACAGTGGCTCATGCCTGTAATCTCAGCACTTTAGGAGGCCGAGGCAGGTGGATCACCTGAGGCCAGGAGTTTGAGACCCGCCTGGCCAACATGGTGAAACACCATCTCTACTAAAAATACAAAAATTAGCTGGGTGTGGTGATGCACACCTGTAGTCCCAGCTATCCTCTGGATCACAAGCAATCCTCTGCCTCAGCCTCCCTAGTAGCTGGGACTGCAGGTATGCACCACCATTCTGTGAAGAGAGAGGCTGCAGTGAGCCAAGACTGTGCCACTGCACTCCAGCGTGGGCAACAGAGCAAGACCCTGTCTCAAAAAAAATAAAAATAAAAATAAGAAAATAAAAACAATTCTTGTATCTACTTTTACGTTGTTAGGTGAAGAACAATAATAAAGTTAAACATAAAATCTCCTACTTGGATTTATTTTATTAATAAAGAATAATTCTATACCTTTGGAGCATATCCAATATTGACTGAATCCATTTCTTCTGAGAATCAGGAATTAAGATCTGTGAGTTTGTTATTCCTATATCAACAACACAAGTTCCTGGAGCCAAAAAGACATCATGTTCTTCTTCATTTTCTTCTGTTATCAACCTAGCTTTCCCACCTCCAAGGACAACTGCGGAACTCAATTTCTTATGCTAAAAACAGAAAGAAACACTTTTTCTTATGGCCTCTTTAGGGAAGCAGGAAAGAAACATTTTTAAAAGTAAATGTAATAATTAATTTCTTGAACATTCTTATAAGAATTTGATTTGGGAAACATAGAAGTACAATTCAAGAAGACTTGGTTCTACTTCTTGAGTGGGTAATTTCAGCTTCGACTTTGAGAAAGTCCCTAGTTCAAAAAGTCTCTGCAGCCCTGACTCTGTTACACTCTCTGTGGTTCCTCATCACACTTCCTAACAGAACTCTAACTGTGGGCTTATCTGCACTTTTCTGCTACAACATAAACTCTCGGAAACCCCATTTTGGCACACAGAACATATTCGACAGATTACTAATTAAAGAAGTTAAACTTACCTCTTTCAACAGATTACTTCTTTGAACAGATCTCAATTCAACAGATTACTAAATAAGGAATTAAACTAAAGAAGTTAAACAACAGCTTACTAAGTTAAAACTAAGTTTCCTGTCCTCCTCATTCGTGTATTTATGAATAGACCAGTTACCACAGAACACTTTAAGAAACACTGTAATTGCAGCCATGATCACTAGGCAGGTCTGGCACCTGGGCAGTTTTTTGTTCTACCTCACACTTCTATACAAAATCCCAAAATGAAATACATTAACAACTATTAATAAGAGTTAATAATGTATCCCAGTTTGCAGTGTATTCTTTAGGAAAATTTAGCTTATAACATAATTACCTGTTTGGCATTCAAAAATATAAATGTTTTCCCTTTGAAGATTTGTTTTCTTTCCTGTCGTCCTGACAGATCAATATTTTTACTCCCAATAGATGGTTCATCAAGAGGTGGGTGAAAACTGTAAAAATAAAGTATATTCTAATTATATACTACTATGTTTGCTATTAAATTTGGAAATGGAGTGACTATCTTACACTCAAAAGGCATAATTTCCATAATATCATTACAGTATTTTTTTTTTAAGTAGAAGTTTTATCAGGGACAAAATGACAGGAAGCATCTAAACACCTTTTCGAGAAATATGGTGGCAGGTGACACAAAGAAAAGCTAGAATTGATCATTAATATCTTTAAATAAATAATCCAAGGTAGACAATCATAACAAGATGAACATTAAACATACATGAGTCAAACAAGGTATCTGGATTACAAAAGGCGGACAGAAACATCATCCATAAAGATCAAATTCTATTAGTATCTTATGTTTGCTTAGAAGCCAGTATCTTTTAAAATGCTCATGATTCAATTTTACTAACACAATCATATTATGAGTGTTTTATTATAGATCTCTTTGAAGAAGTTCAGAATTTTTTTTTTTTTTTTTTTTTTTGAGACGGCGTTTTACTCGTTACCCAGGCTGGAGTGCAATGGCGTGATCTCGGCTCACCGCAACCTCCGCCTCCTGGGTTCAGGCAATTCTCCTGCCTCAGCCTCCTGAGTAGCTGGGATTACAGGCATGCACCACCATGCCCAGCTAATGTTTTGTATTTTTAGTAGAGACTGAGTTTCACCATGTTGACCAGGATGGTCTTGATCTCTTGACCTCATGATCCACCCACCTCGGCCTCCCAAAGTGCTGGGATTACAGGCTTGCGCCACTGCACCTGGCAGTTGGAAATCTTTAAACTTATATTATTTACTCAGTTTAAATAAAATTTTCAAAACAAGATTAAAGAATACAATGTTTTAGCTCTTTAATATAATGCTGTAAGAACACGTTAATCATACATCAAAATAAAGGAAAAATAAGAAAACAGAATTACAACAGATAATTCTTAAGCCTCTTTTCAGTCCAGTATTGCAACTTCCTGTATAATCAGATCTTTTGCTCCAGCTGTTCATAACTGACCAGCATGCATTTCAGCTTGTGTCTCTTCCTTTCAGTAAAAATCACTAAACTATGACAATGATGGTAAGGGGACAATGCAGGGAGGGAGAAATTCAGAACCTGGACAATCAGTCACAAATCAAGAGTTAACTAACTGCAGAGATCAACATCTAGTGTACTAAAAACACTTCAGTCATTAACCATCCAGCACTTTAGAACCAATTTCCTTACATCTTTCCCCTGGACTTCTCCTTGGAAAGTAAAGCTGGATTACGATTGAACAGTTATATTACTTAAATTTTTTTTTTTGATAACTGATGCACGTATTTTAATTCACCACAATGGATATTGTAAATCTGTATTAAAGTAATGATTTCTGGAAGCTGCAATTTCAAATGAGTTATCTGCAGGCAAGAGCAGACTCACGTGACAGGACAGAATGCAGGTCACTATGGTAATTCCAGTTTTTCTACATACCCGACTCTAAAATTCTATTTACTTTAAAAATCTTTTAAAATATACAGAGAACAGTAGAAACTATTTTAACTGTTAATGAAAACTAAATCTACAATAAGAGCACTGGAAAGTTAGTAGACATTTGGACACATAAAAAGGATCAATTTTTACCAAAAATTAGCTGGGCATGGTGGCACGTGCCTGTATTCCCATCTAATCAGGAGGTTGCAGCAGGAGAATCACTTGAACCCAGTAGGTGGAGGGTGCAGTGAGCCAAGATCACATCACTGTGCTGGGCAACAGAGAGACACAGCGTGGGTGACAGAGCGAGACTCTGTCTCAAAAAAAGGGGGGGGGGGGATCAATTTTTAATATCTCTTTGAATCCCTTTTATCCTTTATCTCTTTTTTTTTTTTTTTTTTTAAAGATGGGGTTTCACCATGATGACCAGGCTGGTTTTGAACTCCTGACCTCAGGTGATCCACCTACCTTGGCCTCCCAAAGTTCTAGGATTACAGGCGTAAGCCACCACGCCCAGCTGTCCTTTATCTCTTAACAAATATTCTCCCACATCTTACACTTGTTTTGTACTGTAAAACTCAACTAACACTTTATTTATACAAATAACTAGTTTATCTATCAGTCCATACAATAATATAACAACACTAGGAGAGATTACAGAGCCAGTCACAGACAAAAACAGAAAGTAAATGTTTAACACATACCTATGACTGAGTAGATGTGAGATTCTTCCTGCTTTCCCAAAACACTAAAGTTGAATGATTTTTAAATGACCTACAGCTTTATATTATTCACACTGTCATTCTTAATTATGCCACAGATAACAGTTTACAGTAGCCAGGGAGCAGCTAACTGTAGCTTAGTTCAATGAAGTTTGAGCCATGTTCCTAAACATATGCATATGGTAGCTATTAGGCCTCTCTAATGGTTCTACCAAAGTCCTAACTTTATTAGTGTGATTCCTTAATGGCTGGCTCCTCCACTAAGTGCCATAAGGGAAGAAACTGTAACTTGTTTTGGCTTATCACTACATCTTCAAGTCTACCTTGCCTGCTTCACAGTAGGTGTTCAATAGATATTTAGAAATAAATTGATATTACAAAATACAAATAAAAATTCCACATTTAACAATTTAAAAGTGAATAAAAAGTATAAACATCCTTCAATTCCCTCAGTATAGACTTGAGTATTAAAATTCTAGAACTGGAATGAAGTATCTTGGTTTTCTTTTGAGAACACTGATATTTTGAGCCCCAATACTTGATAAGAGCAATCTTGAACAAAAAAACACATCACTGTATTATCTAGAATCTAACCAAATGCTATAACTCTGACACTGGTTCTTCTTAGATTGATATATGATAGATACATTCACTTGTATATTTGATAAATGATATACACATTCATACACAGATAAGTGAAAATACAGTGATAAAAACATTATGTTCTGGAACTTCAAATACCTACATAGCCTTTTTCTCTTTACCAGTGTAATGATGAAAACAGGAAAGAAGAAACTAGTGATGAATGTGAAGAGATCATTAAAAATAATTATTTATGGCTGGGCATGGTGGCTCACGCCTGTAATCCTAGCACTTCGGGAGGCCGAGGTGGGTGGATCACCTGAGGTCAAGAGTTCAAGACCAGCCTGGTCATCATGGTGAAACCCCATCTTAATAAATAACAATAATAATAACAATAAGAATTATTATTATTTCTGAAGCATTGCATTCTAGAAGTTTTAAAGCATTTCTGACATTCTAGTAATTTAATAAGCTAGCATAAAAACTAGAAAATAGGAAGAAGGTAACCTGTCAGAGACCTAGGCTAGAGGCATATTGACTGAATATAACGATACTACAAATATAAAGTCATTTCCAATTTCTATCATTAAGAAATTAAAATGTTTTGGGCTCGTTTATATAGAAACTTCAAGAGCTACATTTAATTATGTTTTATTAAAGTACCTAGTACACATTATTAATCACATATTCTATAAAATGATATCCAGAAATTTTGCTTTTCCCCATTCACATTTTCTATTTAAATTCTTTACATGATCTTCAATAAATTTCATCTAAACTATAGTACATCATCTTTACTTCTGTACCAAGATTTTGCCAGTTACAGAATTTTTCTGAATCTATGTATAATTCTGGTCCTAGAAACTGTATCCCAAGACATACATATTTATCTATCCAATATTTGGACAGCTGTTTACTTCATTAGTCTTGCAAGCATATGTTTATAATTTCTAGAACCACTTACTACATTGCATTTTTTTTTTTTGGCTTTTTTTTTAATCTCTAAAAGACTAGACTACAGTGACATCTACAACTTGCAAATGTGGGATTCTACCTTCAGAAAATAATTACTAATACTAGTTAAATTTGTCTTTGATTTGAATTATGTTTATAATATGGCCTCTATAAGCTTCCTGAACTGTCAAACTTTCATTTACTGAGATATTTCAGGCCAATGTGTCTTTTGAGTCTGAGATTTAATTACCAGCTGATAAGTAAACCTGCTCCTGTTTCATGGATGCTGGCAGAAGACAAACACTCCTGAGTCACAGCAAAGCCGGCAACATGAGCCCCAGCATGCTGGCTACAGATCTCTTCTCTGACTAGGTTCTATAGGAAGATGTAGAGGGTACATAAAGTGGAAGGTACATGCAGTGGTGTGTGTTACAGGAGAGAGGAACAATGAATGTTGGAAAGCACAGGTTTTATTGTAAGCTATAAGTAAGCCTACATTTTGTCACAGGAAGGAAATATTACTTTATCCTACAAGGTTTCTCACTGCAAGCATACCCCTGAGAAATGGTCTTTGTAAAGGCAGGAAAGGCCTTACATTCTTGGCCTATTCAGCAAATTTGTATGCTGCACCTATCAACCTGTCCTATCAACCCATCATCCAGGTTTTAAGCCCCACATACATGAGGTATTTGTCCTAATGCTCTCCCTCCCCTTGTCTTCCACCCCGAGACCCCAGTGTGTGATGTTTCCCTCTCTGTGTCCACGTGTTCTCACTGTTCAACTCCCACTTATGAGTGAGAGAATATGCAGTGTTTGATTTCCTGTTCCTGTGTTAGTTTGCTGAGAATGATGGCTTTCAACTTCATCCATGTCCCTGCAAAGGGCATGAAACTCATTCTTTTTCATGGCTGCATAATATTCCATGGTGTATATGTACCACATTTTCTTTCTCCAGTCTATCATTGAATGGGCATCTATCTGGGTTGGTTCCAAGACTTTGTTATTGTGAACAGTGCTGCAATAAACATACGTGCGCATGTGTCTTTATAGAATGATTTATAATCCTTTGGGTATAGACCTAGTAATAGGATTGCTGGGTCAATTGATGTTTCTGGTTCTAGATCCTTGAGGAATCACCACTCTGTCTTCCACAATGGCTGAACTAATTTACGCTCTCACCAACAGTGTAAGAGTGTTCTTATTTCTCCACAGTCTTGCCAGCATCTGTTGTTTCTTGACTCTTTAATGATCGTCATTCTAAGTGGCATGAGATGGTATGAGTTGAATTTAATATTTTAATTTTTAAAATTTCCTGAAATATTCAAGTTTTCCTATAGAGACAAGATGTCTGAATTATATGTGAAACAAGATTGACTGGAAATACACAGTCCATCTAGTATGTCATATAATAGGTACTTTAGGTAAAGAAGTTCTTGTGCTACTACACTGACTAAAACCATCTACCATTTTACAGTCCCAATCATTTTAACCATGCAATCTGAAAAAAAACTTCCAAGTATCTCCCTCCTCAACCCTAATTTGTATTACTTCAAAGCATCACTAACACAATGCATACAGTAGATAGATCTAGCCTGGTGGTTCACAGATTTGGCAAGGCCTCAAAAAGTAAAACAAAATAATAAAGCTATTATGAAGCTTCCCAGGTGTTGTTGCAATTAGCAACAACAAACATTTATTTTAACAAGCACTTATTATGATACCAGGCAGACTATATATAGTCATGTACCACATAATGACATTTCAGTCGAAAATGGATCATATATACAACAATGGCCCCATAAGATTACGATACTACATTTTTACTGTACCTTTTCTATGTTCATATACGCTTAGATACATAAATACTTACCACTGTGTTGCAACTGCCTATAGTATTCAGGGCAGTAACATGCTGTACAGGTTTGTAGCCTAGGAGCAATAGGCTTATTCCATATAACCTGGGTATGTAGTAGGCTCTACCATCCAGGTTTATGTAAGTATACCCTATCATGTTAATACAATAATGAAATCGCCTAAGAACACATCAGTCAGAATGTATTCCTGTTGTTAAGCAACGCATGACTGAATCCCTGATACTTAAAATAACTCAGCTAAGTAAGTATTAGTCTTAAATGTGAAATGAGGTAACTGGAGCTCATAAGAACTGAGGTCCATTCCCAAGGCTACGGTGTTGTTAATATTCTGGACCATGTGGCTCCCAAAGAGGGTTGTTGCACCACACAATTCCAGAGCTAACTGTGGCATGATGCCCGGAACTGACATATGTGCTCTTCTGAACACACCTCAGTGCCATTTACGACCTTTCCATTTTTTTCTTTAAATATTAGCATCTATTTAATATTTGTTTCACAGAGATACAGGATGACCAACAAAGAAATTTGGGGAATGCTTTCTTTACATACTAACAAAAAATCTTCCATTAACAATACTGAACTATACACAGCAACTATTACATCCTGAAACAATCATTAAAGAGGGAATTAAACTAAATAAAAATCAATGCTAAATATATTATAAGTAACGTCTTGTTATATTTAAAATATATAATATACCTTTCAACTTGTGGAGGTTGTTTCTTGGACTGAACTGCTTTCAGGAATTCAGTAAAATATTCTGGCTTTACAATTGGACGTCCACAAATGAGTGCACATATTGTCTAAAATGAAGAAAACATGTGAATATATATATTCATATCCTAGCATTTTTTTAAAGAAAAGTTTTAAGTTATAAACTACGAAGAGGCTGTTTATATTCACAAAAAAATGTTTTTCCTTTATCTTTCAAAATTGATGAAGAAGCCACAATCCATAAAATAGAAGTCGGCATTTGGTCACTGCATCATTTTAGAACATAAATCACAATACAATCACTCCATTATAAGAAGTCACCAATTATAATACTGCTTTTTAAACCTGCTCTTTTGGGAGAGGTGGAACAACATAAAATAAAAGTGAATTTTAAAATCCATTCCACTTTGAAAGACATTAAAATGTTTAAAACGTATTTTAGGATTGAGGAAATGTAACATTATCTGCTACAGGGAAGACAATATTAAGAGATTAACATGAGATATTTTTAGACTGTCTTTCAGAAAGATTATAACTGTGCAATAAAGCCTCTTTGAGAAAGTAAATAAATAATTTTTGGTAAAAGATCAAAATAAGTACAAACAGATAAGGGGAAAAAAACTTAAACTCATGTGAATAAAGCTATAAGCCTCAAATAGGGTGCATCCAAAAACTATGATAAACATTAGAAAATGCTACAATTGGCAATGAAAATAAGATTCAGAATAACATAAATACGCCTTTTTTTTTCGAGACAGCGTCTCGCTCTGCTGCCCAGGCTGGAGTGCAGTGGTGCAATTTTGGCTCAGCTCACTATAGCCTCAACCTCCTGGGCTCAGGCGAGGCCTGCCTCAGCCTCCTGCCTCAGCCTCCTGCCTCAGCCTCCTGAGTTGTTGGGACTACAGGAACATGCCAGCATACTCAGCTAATTTTAAAATTTTTTTGTAGAGATGGAGTCTCACTATGTTGCCCAGGCTGGTCTCAAATTCCTGAGCTCGAGCAATCCCCTCGCCTCGGCCTCCCAAAGTGCTGTGATTACAGACGTGAGCCACTGTAACCAGTCATAAATATGCTTTTAATAACACAGGGAATTTCATTGTCTAAAAAGGGGCAAGCAGATTTAGAGTGTCTTTCAAGAATGAAACCTGAAAGACACCAACTTCCACAGTGAAAGAAATAAAACAGCATGAAGCAGTAAGGTACAAATCAACACTGTATTGAATAAACTCTAATACATGAGACTTGGGATAAAAATTGGTCCATGCCTTAGTTTACACTTCAGAAAATAAAAGTTGAACTGAAGCCTTTTTTCGTTCTTGTTTTTTTTTTTTAAATAGCTAATAGTAAGAATAAATGATCTTTAAGTTTCTTTTTGGCTCTAACATTCAATGATTTAAAAAATATAACCTAACCGTATTTTCAGAAAATTTACCAAAAAAAAAAATAAAACAAGGTTTTCTATTTTGGCATATGAATGATCAGGAATTTTTTTTAACAAATTAATCTGTAAACCATGTTAGTGCCTGTAATGGAGTGATTCACAAGGTGGTCATCAGCATCCCAGTCGCTCAAGTGTCCAGGTTTGTCACAGATGTAGTAAAGTAAAACAGTCTAACTACCTTTGATCTTATTTCACGCCAGCCAAGCAAGTGGATGATTACCTACTCTATTTCTTAATTACTTTAATATCTTAAAGAGGACTGTGCTAGGGCCCACACTTAAATATTGTGATAAAGGTGCATCCCTACTGAAAATCATAAATGGGCACTTTGATTTATAAACCTACTGTGAGTTTGTATGCATATATTAGTACTCTAGAGGCTAATCACACTGCTGATTTATAAAATCAATTTCATAAACTCACAAAAATAAAAGCCCTTGATCACAGACAATCCCACCAAAGTACAAGTTGAGTTCCATCTGAACAGCAAGCCTTTCTCCATGGTAACTCTTTAGCTATAAAATATAATTCTAGTTTAATTATATTAAATACTAAAGGATTTTAAATAAAGAAATTTTAAAAAGGTATTTGTGGGTTTTTACTATAGATGTTAACCTAAAAGAATCACACAAATCTGTAGTCAACCTGTTTAAAAGGAGATGAATCACCTCCCCATGCCATTCTTCACTTAGCTTCGGATATAACCAAATCTGATGAAGATGTAAAATTTGAAAACATATCAAAATATGTTACTGGTTTGTTTTTTTTTTGTTTTTTTTTTTTGATATGGAGTTTCACTCTTGTTACCCAGGCTGGAGTGCAATGGCGCCATCTCGGCTCACCGCAACCTCCGCCTCCTGGGTTCAAGCAATTCTCCTGCCTCAAGCCTCCCGAGTAGCTGGGACTACAGGCGTGCACCACCATGCCCAGCTAATTTTTCTATTTTTAGTAGAGACGGGGTTTCACCATGTTGACCAGGATGGTCTCGATCTCTTGACCTCGTGATCCACCCGCCTCAGCCTCCCAAAGTGCTGGGATTACAGGCTTGAGCCACCGCGCCCGGCAATATGTTACTGTTTTAATGAACAGTCAGCATCTTCTAAAGGCACATATCTACATATCTCTAGGTTGTGAAGATACATTAAGGCAGCATTGACCTACAAGAACTTAAGTCTTTGTGATCAGGGCCTTAAATCAAATAAATAGCAAGAGAGCATTAGAGAGTATCAGAGACTAGAGGAAGACAACTTGATAGAAGAGACATGAGATGCCAGCTTTGACGACTGGCAGTTAACCTCTAATTGCGTTGTTTTTAGACTGAAAACACAAACTATGCACTATAACAACCTTCTTGGTGGAAGGACAACAGAATCGCTTTTTAAAAATGCTAAACAAAATCTGCAATACAATTTTAGGTGCTTTTGCCTTGTCTCAGGTAATAAACAAATTATCTGAAAAGCCACTCAAGCCTAAATGGTATATAAAGGCACGGAGTGGGCATATACAAATCCACAACTAACAGTTCTGATAGTTTTAAGGCAATTAAAAGAAAATCTGTGTATAGTAGGTAAGCTTAAATTCGAAGAACTTATTTTAACATAAGAACAAGACATTCGACCTACTTTAATGGTAACTTTAACTGATACCATGACAAGGTGAGTGCATTCCTCTGTCCAATTGTTTACAGTAAGTCCTCCAAGTTGCAATATAGCTTGATTTAAAGCAGTTTTCCCAGAGACATCTAAACAAGAAGAGCATGCGACCAAAGGCTCATACTCTATTCTGTAAATGAGAATAAGTTAAATAAAGTTATAGTATCATAGTTGCAGAGATGGTAACTTCCAGTACTTTAAACCTTTAGGCTCACATCATAAACTGCTATCATAATTTTTATTTATTGTTATCCTTTGTAACTTATGAAATTATCAATTCTTCATTGATTCCTAAGTCTTGAGTCCCAATGAAGAAAAAGCAATGACCAAAAGTGAACATTATACCTTCACCAATGAGGAATGAAAGAAATATAGTTCACATGAAGTCCCTGAGGGCCCACTCAAACTCCCATCACCTTGATGTATCAAACGCTCTAACCACCTGTGGCACAGAGTCCAATACTGTGCTAAGTAGGAACTAAATCATACTGTTTTAAATTCATTAACCATAAATATCATTTTCCTTTAGAATTTGGTTGAAATAAAGCTGCCCATTTTAATATCAATTCAAAAATTTCTTACCTGAATTTACTTGCAAACACTCCAAACGTAATACTATCCCCCGACTTCAAAGTTCTGGAAAAGCCATTCTGCATTTTTTCCTCGTTAACAAAGGTACCATACTTAGAATTATCTTTTAATGTCAATATAGGGATTTCATCTGTTTGACTCTGCAAAGTTAGCAAATAGTTTAAAGTCTTTTACCACTCAGTACATTCACTTCTCAGAGAAAAAGGTTTCAAAAGAAAATGCTGATCTTTTTGAATAAACAATAGACAGGTGGCTAACCTCCCAACACAGCAGACAATAGTTACTGCTTTGGTTGCCTTCAGAGGAAGATCACTTAACTAACAATTCATATTTCCCCTTAGGGAAATTTCTTAACCCAGGATTAGCCCTCCAAGAACACACATTTTCTTTATTTGGGTAAGTCAATGAGGACTTTCCTGACCCCTCACAGACGTGAGAATTTTTTGCTTTGGAGCAGTCTGTTCTATTTAGAACATGACAATTTCATTCCTAGATTTTCTTTTTCTTTTACACTATCAAAACCACACTGCAAAAATAAGTCAAATGAGAATATGAGGGCATAGGCTAGTGTTTCTTAGTAACAATTTTATTTTTTCTGCAGAAATTTCCACAATGCCTTTCTATACCTAAAAGAATAGAAACAAAACCTAAACAACACTGAACAAATCCAGATCGCACATATGCAATCTTTGCTTAAAATAATGGTTTTTCTTTATTACCACCAGCATTATCATGAGTACAGATATTTATATATTTTTTTAGCACTTTTATCACTCACGGTTGTGATCAAAACAAACTTAAAGCCATTAAAGGAGCTGTGGGGCGTAAGTAAGCATTTCCCTAACAAAACAAATCAATTCTCACTGCAAAAACTTGTGTTATGAGAAATGCCCATATCCACATAGCTACATAACCTCTTTAAGAGCTGGAGTCATGAAGGTTTGTTCATTGTTCTGTTTCTAGGCCTGGCACAGTTACTGACACCTATAAAAGTAATTGCTGTTTTTTGCCGTTACGGTTAACTTTGCCATTCTTGTTAATGGCAAAAACAGCAAATCCTTTTGTACCAACCTAATAGTAAACAATCAATGTTTAGTAAGCAAATAAAAATTAACTATGTCCTACTTCCTCTGACTTTTTTACTCACTAAAACACAGAATAAATCACTGAAATAGAAACTTCAAATCTCAAAATAAACATCATCACTGGGTAACCACTGCCAAAATATAAGTATTTAATTTTGCAAACATTAAAAAAGTGTACAGAGCTCTATAAAATGACATCCTATAAACTCTCTCTCACATACACACCAAGATAATATTTTGTGATTTCAACCCTCTTAATGGAGGCTAGTGAAATAAAATTAGCAACATACCAGGTTGGTTACAGAAAAGTTAGCAGTTAACACAGCATGATTTCGGCTGATTGACTGATCTTTTTCAATTAGAATGGCACAGTTCTTCCTTCCAACGACGTACTCAATGCCAGTTAAAAGTCTGTATGGCTCTCCTAATTTTTTTTTTTTTTAAAAAAAGATAAGTTCATAGACACATGCACATGAACACACACACATACATGTAAGTGTATATGATACAGGTATGAAAAATATAAAACAGCTTTCTTATGCAAATGTTAATCAACTTTATATATGACAAACTGTGTTTTCAGTAAAGCCTCACTGCAAAGGTTACCTAAATATGTTTCAGGAGTAAAAACAAAAAAATTTAAAATATAATAAAAAAGATTTTAAAAAGTTATCTAAATAGCTAGAAGACTATATCATTTTTTCTAAAGGAAAAGCAATGCTGAAAGGAGTCAATGCTCCCTCAAATTAACTTAAAAACTTAATGTATTAGCTACTAATCACAATATTATGTTTAGAACTTGATAAATGAATGCAAAAATTCATCAGGAAATTATAAAAAAGGCAGTCAAGAGAAATGTGAATAATATAGGAGCTTGCCCTTCCAGATGGCAAAATATGCCACAAAACTAAAAGTATGGCATTGGACCAAGAGTAAACAGCATAGAGGCTGGCCGCGGTGGACCACGCCTGTAATCCTAGCACTTCGGGAGGCTGAGGTGGGTGGATCACCTGCGGTCGGTCAGGAGTTCAAGATCAGCCTGGCCATCATGGTGAAACCCCATCTTTAAAAAAAAATAAAATAAAGAGTAAACAACATAGACCAACGCAACAAAGTCCAGACCAGATGCACGTGTGCATTTTTTGAAATTTTGTTTTAATCTTAAAGCTAGCATCACCCATCAGTGGGAAAGGGTTATCAGTTTCTTTTAAAGTTGGTGTAAAGCGTAAGTTGTTGGAGTGACAGCTTCTGTATTGCAGACATGCGGAGTTTAGTCTGGGAGCAGGATTTCGTTACCTGAGTGGCAGGGAGACTGGGGCAGATAAAAGTAGGGAGTCCAGGAGAGCCGGGTCTCCAGGGATGCCTTTACCTGTGAGTCTTCACAGTCTATTTATTTAGTTTGATCCTCTCCATACTCTTATCTTGCCTGTCCATTTAGTCTCTACACAGACCACTGACAATAATCATGTAAACTTCCTGACATGCCCCTTCATACCCACCACGGGCAACCAATTAACATGTGATCACATTTCCCACCGCTGGAAATGAAGGGGAAAAAAATCGACTTTTCCCGTTGTTCTGATGACATCATGGAAACGGAGTCTGAAACAAAACTGAAAGTAAGCTTTCTCGCGGTAGCCATTTCCTCAAACTGTCCGGTAGTTCTTCACAAGACACGTGTGGCCGCCGCGTGGTCCGCCCGTGCGAACTTCCAGCCAGGGGTACCCACCGGGCGCCGGCTGCCACTCACCCGCAGGCCACCCAGCGGAGCGGGGCCACCGCGGCGGGGCCGGGGGCAGGAGGAGTCGGGGGAGGGATGCGGAGGGCGGCCGCCAGGGGGCAGTGCAATCACCCTACTGCTTGAGCCGAATTCCGGGCCGCCGCGCCGCGCGGGAAGACCGCGCGCTTCCCACACAGCGAACTCGCCTCTTCTGCAACCGCTTCCGCAGCGTCCTTGGGCGGGAACGGCGGCTAAGCGGAAAGCATCGCCCATAGGCCCTTCCGGAAGCAGCTGCTACCGGGAAAATGGACCCCGAGGCTTCCCTTCCACACTTACCTCCTGCGGGGCCCGCGGCGGGCTGCAGTTTCCACATGGGTCCGGCTCCTCAGGGCTGAGGCCGACGCGCGACAGTGTAACTGGCGCTGGCAGACTAGCGCGGAGACGACGCCTGCAGTCGGCACGGCTCCGGGACGTGCGCGCTCCCGGGAGCCACGCAGGCTGCCTCAGACTCCAAGGGAAGAGGCGGGAGTTGGACTTGGGCGCTTGGCCGCCACCTGGTGGTTGGAAGGGGAACCGCACAATCTGTATTGAAACGTGCTGCTGTTAGAAGGGTTCCTTTCAAGGTGTCACTGGATGTAAGGTTCACTACGTTTTCTGATGATGCATGAACAGAATTTTAAAAACTAACTCCAAAGCAACGTAAGGAAAGTTTCTAATTAAACACATTGAAATACTGACCAGTTATGTATTTTCGTGCATTTGCAATTTCTTAAATTGCGGGCGTTCCTTTGGATTCTAGCGATGGTGATGATAAAGATGAAGGTAAGGATTTCACCGCAACGTAGACGCATTATTCAAACCCTTTTCCAAGTCCAAGTCGACTTGTCCCAACGTCTTTACTTCATAACGCCACACTTTCATCTAATCACATGCTGAATACGCGGGAGTCTCCCGCGTTTAATACCCCTCCTTTCCGTTTCCGCCGGTCTCAGGCTGGCCCAAGCTCTCCTCCTCCTTCCCGCAGCTTCCTGACCCATCACCACCCACCTCCCACATAATCTATTCTACATCCTATGGGTTGAAAGACGCGCGCTTTGAATGAAGAGACCTTCCAAACAGGCTTTGTGTGAGCAACATGGCTGTTGATTCACCTGGGTGCAGGTGGGCTAAGGCCGAAAAGGGCGTTAGCAAAGGGCAGTGGGATAGGAGTTGGTTTTACAGGTTTGGGTAGTTTCTTGGGGGGCGGGAGTGTTGCATAGTAAGGTCAGTTACGGTGGTGGGGGGTAGGGGCAGGGGAGTGTACATGACAACATGTTCGGTTACAGTGGCAGGGTTGGGTATTTACGTTATCATAAGAACGGTTCAGATGGCGGGGTTGGGTGAGGGGCTTGTCCGGGGACGCAATAAGGGGCCATGGCCAACGCAGGCAGGAGGTGGGAGACCTCAGCCGGGGCAGGCAGGACTTCAGACTTTCAGGCTCCAGGCTTGTATATGGAGACCTGACACTGTGCACTACCAAACACACATCAGAGAGCACACTTCTGATCACATGAATTCTGGCTTTCAAAAGCGATCTGTACTAGGGGAGAAAAAGGCTTGTTTAGGCCCAGCACTGTAGTTCATGCCTTTAATCCCAGAACTCTGGGAGGCCAAGGTGGGAGGATTGCTTGAGGCCAGGAGTTCAAGACCAGCCTGGGCACCCTATCTCTATAAAAAAAAGTAAAATTAGCAGGGCATGGTGGCATGCTCCTGTAGTCCCAGATACTCAGGAGGCTGAGGCAGAAGGATCCTTTGAACCCAGGAGTTCCATGCTGCAGTGAGCCATGATTGTGCCACTGCACTTCAGCCTGGGCAATAGAACAAAACCCTGTCTCAAAAAAAAAAAAAAAAAAAAAAAAAAAAATGCTGGTTTACCAATCTCTGTTGTCGTTATAGATGCAAAATCCTAAACGTAATATTAGCAAATGGAATCAAGTGGTATTTTTAAAAAGAATAATTATGTCTAAATGGGATTTATCCGGAAACAAAAGGATAGATTAACATGGGGGGGGGGGGAATATATGTAATTCACCGAATAATTTAAAAAAAAAAATCGTATGATTATCTTCAGAGTTGCAAAAAACGGATAAAATTCAACACCAGCTCATGATAAAAACTCTCTGCAAAGCAGGAATAGGAAGAACATCCATGGCTTTTTCCTCAGCTGCCGCCAAGGTGCTCGGTCCTTCCGAGGACGCTCAGGCCGCGTTGGGGTGAGACCCTCACTCCATCCGGAGACTCGCCCCACGCTCACCCGCAGCACGGCCTCGGTCTCCGAGCTCGCCTGCATCTCCTCGGCCCTCATTCTGCACCACACGGAGGATAAGATCAATGCCCTCATGAAAGCAGCCGGCGTAGATGCTGAACCTCTTCGGCCTGACTTGTTTGCAAAGGCCCTGGGCAACGCCAACACTGGGAGCCTCACCTGCAGTGTCGGGGCCGGGGGCCTGCTCCAGCAGGAGGTCCTGCCCGCTGCACCGCTGCTGCTCCAGCCGAGGAGAAGAAAGCGGAAGCAAAGAAAGAAGACTCCGAGGAGTCTGATGATGATACGGGCTTTCGTCTTTTCGACTAAACCTCTTTTATAATGTGTTCAATAAAAAGCTGAACTTTAACTGCTGTTGGTCTTGCCCATAGCTTGGGAACGTGCTCTGCAAAAATGGTTTCGGTTTTGTGATGTTGGCTTTCAACCTATTCTGACGTGACACAGGCTGGATTTTTCCCTGTCACCTAACAAGACGGCACCTCCTGGTACAGTGCTGAAAACTGCTCTGGGGTGGCAGGAGGAAGGATCAGAGCAGATGCTTTGTCCAGGTTACCTGTATAAACTTGATGATTGTAAGGTGTGTCCCCTACGCTGGAGTTGGAGGGTAATACAGACCTCAGCTTTAGAAAGCCTCCTGGGTAATTACCCTGTACAATCCTGCCTAAGAACTTGGACCTATGCAGAATGTTGACTGCTACATCCCAAGGTTGTCAGGCAACAAGATCTAGCTGTGTAATGTCTCATCAAATGCTTGGGAGTTTTACAGTAACACTGAAGGAGTGCAGAAAATAAACCATTAAGGTCCCAGTTACACAAAGTGGACAAAACAAGATTCAAACCCGTGTTCCAAAAACTAAGCTTTTTTTATTTGATAGTAGCCTGAATGGAAATTTCGACTTTTCAGGTTTGGATTTATATAATAAGCCATGAGTATTGTGTGTTCAAAAAAGAAAGAACATCCGTGATCTGATAAAGGACATTTACAAAAAAACTACAGCTTACATTATACTTAAGGTAAGTTACTGAAGATTTCTCCATGACATCAGTAATGAAACAAGGATGTACATGATCTTACCATATATTTTCAACATGGCTTTAGATCTTTAGATGCTCTAGCCAATGCAATAAAGGAGAAAAAGTAACAAAAGACAGTCACATTGGAAAAGAAGAAATAACAGTCACTATTCACAAATTACTTGATTGCCTATATTGAAAATCTAAAAGACTGTTGGCAAACTATTTTAATTAATAAGCGAATGTAATAAGGTTCTGGATATAATATCTAGATACAAAATTTAATTGTTTCCCTTTATTCCAGAAAATAAAAAATCACATTTTTATAAGATAATTACAATGGCACCAAAATAATCAAGTACTTTTTAAATCGATCAAAATACGTGATACAAAACATTATTGACTACATAACAGTATTGACAGAAAATTTTAAAAGTCCTAAATAAATGCAAAGATAATGCATTATGTTCACAGATTGTTAAGATGTAATTTCCCCAAAAATTGATCTATGGATTCAATGTAACTTCAGTAATGTCTCAGATGCTTTTTTTTGAGTAGAAATAGATAAGCAGATTCTAAAATCTATACAGAAATGCAAATGCCTACAATAGCCAAGGCAATTTTGAAGAAAGAAGCTGGAGTATTTAAACTATGAAATACCAAGATCTATTATAAAGTTACAGTTATTAAGTCAGTGTTTGATTGGTATAAGGATAGAAAACAGGCAAATGAGTCAGAATAGAGGGATCTACAAAAGGTGGACACATAAGGTAATTTGATTTTTCGAAGGTGATTACAGGGCAACAAAGGAAAGTCTCAGGTGCCCCCATCCTGCCCCACAAATAAATGATCCCGTTTATTCACATGACACAAAACATGTGCTAACATGATGCAAAAAATGAAGATGGATGCCCCGCCTCACACAGATACAAAAAAAATTCCAGATGAATCATAATTTAAATATGAAAGTAAAATAATAAATATTAATGGAAGAAAACATGATTTCAAAATAGGCAGATCTTTCTTAAGTGGGACACACAAAAGTATGCCCTGCATTATAGAATCCCTAAATTTCACTGATTTAGTGAAGCATCAACATTTTGCAGGAATTTTCTTCCACACTTGGAAGTATACGTATCTCACCAAGGCCTCCAACCTGTTTTCCAAATCCTTGCTCATCCAATCTTTTAAGCATAGCACCATCCCTGTAGTGTTGCAGGATTTCAGAGACTGGAGAGACTGCTGAGGTTACAGAAGGAGTTTATTTTAGGTGCACACTGGTCCAGCTGGTTCCCTGACTGGGAAGAAAATGGCTGAGCCCCTAACAAAGGCAGGGCTTGACTTTATACATGAAGTGTATAGTGGCGCTAAAACAAGTTTGCAGGTATAGAACAAAGGTAATTCATTAAGCAATGATAGGCACCTAACTTAGGCCTACATATGACTGTTGCTATGCCACCCTGATGTTCGCTATCTGTAGAGCTCAAGGATTCTAGCATGGGTCTTACCCTCTACCTTCTACTACAGTGCCCAGAAGGCCGGAGTCCTGCCTGCTTGGGCAGTTTTTATGACCTTCGCTGTGTTACAGAAACTTACAGTTATCAGCCACAGAGAACAAGAACACAAGAATTTATAAACTTATAAAACTTGCAAAGCAGGACACAATCCCACAGGAGGGGGAAGGACTCAGGGAAGTTTGCTTATAAAAAAGTTAATTTCTGGTTCCCTTTCCTGCATTAATTTTATTTTATTAATTTTTCCTCTTCCGCTGTAGAACAGTGGGATGTCCTGCAGCATGTCCTGACAGTTCAGGTCTCTTGGGACTACGTTACGAGAGAGGTTAAGGAGACACGACTTAGCTCTGGGTCAATATTGTAAATATTTTCTATTATTGGTTCTAATTAAATATGAGCACTTTCGGATTCTATTTTCTGATAAGGTTGGGGAAGCACATGTCACCATATAAATCACCCCAAACTTGTTGTCTGAGGTCATGTTGCTCTGCTCTTGTAAGGATTTCACATCTGGTACAGCAGCTCTAATTGGAGTTATTACTTTGTTGATTGCAGCAGTCAGCTGTTTATTCTCCAGGAACTGTCAGGCTTTTGTAGGTCAAGTATGATGAATTAAATGGCGATATAAAGGGAACCGAAAAAAGGACTAATTATCTATCATTCCCCTATATCATTTTATTTTTCACTGTCATGGCTGTACAATTTCA